CAAGAATGATGGTAACTGCTTGCTAAACAGAGATCTGAGTGTAGTTCTTTGGCTTGTATCACTGTGGAGTCCCAGTTATCAGTCCTCTTGGCAGACTGTTGTAACTCTGCTACTTTAAGCGTAGTTACTTCGTGGGCATAAAAGTGTTTACTGAATTTACTTTTGTTTTGGGTAATACAAATTTTGCAGGGCCGTTCTGAGCTAGTCCACGCTCACACTGTTGCGGGGGTCAAGATGAGTTTTGTTCTTAAGGTTGCTGTCAGAATGCAGCAACAGTTGGCTTCACTGTAGTGCGCGCTTTGTCCTTAACTTGCCCAGTAGATGGTACTGTTGGCTGTTTTATTTAACTTGTTTTAAAGCAATGCATTAAGATGCGTTGGTTTTTCTCTTCCTTTTTGTCCTTTGCACTTTGATTGTTCTTCTTTTTTATTCCTTTTCCTTACTGCCTGTTCTCCCAAAATGCATTTTTATCTTGTATGAAACAATAGTAGCCTTTATTATGATTTGATCTCTGTGGGTACTGATGAGGCCTTATATACTGTTAAAAGGGCACAAGTAACAGCAAACAGATATGCAACAGCGGGGACTCAATTTGAAACTAGATTGTATATATTTCTTCCCAACAGGTTTGAGTTTCTAAGAATTAATCTGCAATATGATAGACATTTCACAGTATTTGCAAATTTATTTTTATTCCATGTAGTGACAAATGCACAGCGTATTTTTGTGAAATGTGGAGAAAGAGAACTGAAAGCCTTTATAACATATAATTCCCCCTACATAAAACTATGGAGTGCCTTCCAGCCTGCATGGTGAGGCAAAGAATTTCCATTAGAAATGGAAAGGTTCTAAAGCCACAGGAGGAGGGACAGCAGAAGTCGACAAGAAGAGCAGAAGGAGCTTGTGCTCAGCCTAATAAAATTAAGTTTCAGGGTAATAATTCCTTGCTTCAAGTATATATCCATAGTAAGTGCTGGGGTACTAGAGCTATGTAAAAAGTTAGAAGAAGGTTTTCTGAGAAAGAAATTCAGGAATGGACACTCAGTAGAGACACTGGTAACAGAAAACTGTCTGTTCCTCCATTGCAGCTGAAACATTTATGAAATGCTTTATGTGGTACTATTGCCTGCAGTAAACAAAGGCTTCATCTCAGTGACTTATGATACTTGTTCCTATCCTGTGTAAATTTTAACGCAATTTTAATTGTTTTTTTAAGTCTGTATTCATAATAATTTTGATCCCTGTAGAACTTAACATGTAGATAGAAATTGTTCAGAAAGTATTTATAATGTTTGATTATTATTTATTTAAACCTTCATTTCCCTCAGTGTGTTCTGTATTTGCTCTATAAATATTAAAATATTCTTGGGGATGAAATTAACTGTCATATAAGCTGAAATCCTGGTATATCAGGACATCATTTCCTCAGGATATGAAAATGTATCTCAGCTCTTGAGTGGAAAGACTCTAATGATGTTTAGGTGGAAGTTACTGTTTAATTCTCTTTTGGTCCTCGTGGAAACTTTTAAACAAGGCAGCTAAGTAAATTTGTGTTGTATACTTAACTCACTAACAGTTAGATTCATCCTTCCAGCTCAGTTGATGATATATTTGTGTTAAAAGACCATTGGCTTAATTGGGTGGCATAGAAAATTATCTTCTTAAGAGGTTACTTAAAATTTGCAAACAAGTATTTGACAAAAGTCAAGTGGATTAAATTCATACCCAACAAGCTTTATAGTTTACTGTCTTTTAAACACTGAAGTGACAAAAATCAGGGTTTTTTTTGTGAGATCATTTTAAAATTATTTGATAATGGCCTGAATTTGTTTCCATCAAAGGGAATTTTACTGTTTGCCTTAATGAAGACAGGTTTAAAGAAAATCCCTGTATCCAGTGCAAATTTACACATTTACTTAAGGAGTTCTGTGATTTAAACCCAAATTTTTATTTCTCAGAAAGCTATGGATCCATCCTCAGAAGTTAGCTCAATGTCACTACTTTCTTCCCTCTGTATCACCTGCTGCAAACCTCCAGACTGTCAAGACACCTAGGGGAAATATATGGGAGGATCGCTGTTAATATATTTTGGCTTGGGTCACCAAAAATAGAAGAAACATTATGAGAGAACCTTACCTTTTTTTTTTTTTTCCTTACTTTCTAAATAGAATAAGCTTACAAAAGTGCTAATTTTTTTTCATAGAAATGTAAACTACCATTACTGTAGCTCCCTTTTGTCATTTTTCCAACAGTAGACAGTAGCTGGCACATTGCTCAGACAGCTCTCACCATGTGATAGCTTTGTGCAGCATGCTGCTCTGTACATCTACTTATCCTGGTTTTAAGCAATTAACCTCTGTCACAAGGGTTTCATTGCTTTTCCTCACCAGCTAAAACCAGAGTCCCACTTCCCAGGTCTGAGGCATTTTTCTGTTCAGCTATGGAGAGCTCAGCATGCACAGTAATGCTAAAGCTTTAATTAGGAAAGCAATAAACGAAAGCAGACATATCTCCTTCAAGTCTGTGTCCAAACAGGAGCTGGAGGCCTCTGACACTGATAAAGTGGAGGCTGTGGGCAAAAGCAGGAGATACAGAGGTCAGATGAGGCAGCATGCTGCCATGTGGTTATGTTCTCCTGCCTGCTAAGGCAGTACTGACTGGTTGTTCTCCATTGCTGCACCCACCTTGGTGTGGTAGCCCAGCTGTTAAAGAGCTGCTTCCTTAATGGTTTGGCTCTTGCTGCCATGAACACCCTTCAGTGAAAGGGTAGCTGTGAGCAGGCTTCCCTGCAATCATAAGGCTTTCATCATGTTTGATGCCTGTCAGTCAGTCATCTGAAGCGAGAAGGGCTAGTAGGTCACTGCAGTAGCCAGGGTGACATCCTTGCATACCACAGGAGGCCACAGTGAGGGGGGAACATACGTATAGTGTCAGGGCTGGACATCCACCAGATCATACAGAAATATCATAGGTATTAATTGGACTGCTTAGAAATACCTTTGGTGTACACATGTTCTGGCTGATTATGTATGAAGGTGCAGGCAAGTGTTTCCAGAAGCCAGTTATTAATCTCAATGTGGCCTGTCAGTTGGTAGGCTGCAGTGCCATGTTTTAGTCTGTGCTCGCAGCCCATTTGCTTATCCAGCTCTTGCAGCTACAGCCTTTGGAAGCAGTGAAGGTTTTCCTTCTGACATCCACTTATTCCAGCGGCAGCGAAGCACCAACAACAAAAGTGAGTGTAAATAAATAGCAAATATGAGCATAACCAAAGTAGGAACCATGCTGGGTATGTAAGTCAACTATAAGACACAAATCATAGAATCATAGAATCATAGAATAGTTAGGGTTGGAAAGGACCTTATGATCATCAAGTTCCAACCCCCCTGCCATGGGCAGGGACACCTTGCTCTAAACCATATCACCCAAGGCCTCATCCAACCTGGCCTTGAACACTGCCAGGGATGGAGCATTCACAACCTCCTTGGGCAACCCATTCCAGTGCCTCACCACCGTAACAGGAAAGAATTTCCTCCTTATATACTAGATTATAATCTAAGATTGGATATAAGGTCTAAGATCCTCTTCTGAATGGTAACTGCTATTCTTTGGGTGGAACAGCATGATTGCCCACAAACGAGTACGAGCATATGGTGTTGCTGCCTTCAGTTCAAGGCTGAACTGGACTTTCAGTCCAGATGGATGTATCAACAGTTTACCCACACTTGCATACCTGTTCCGAGCATTGTCATCACAAGTAAAAATCTTGGCTGCAGAAGACTGTGTGAGGTCCTCCTTCCTCTCCCTCCCCTCAGCTTAGTTCACATTCCTTAGGAGCCAGCAGTTTTTCACAAATGCTGAAGTTGGAAGGACTGCATTAACGAAAGCACACTGTTCTGGTATATACACATGGGGCTTAGCTTTGCTTTCAGTCAGAATGCCTTATTTTCAGTACTATACCTTAGCAGGGTCCAATTCATCCTGCAGCCTCTGGAGGCACAGAGAAGGTGAGCAAAGTGCCAGGCAATTGTTCCCCTTCTCATTTTGCCCAGGTGAAGTTCTCTGACCAGAGAAATAGAAATTTGCTTCATGCTATTGCCCCTAAGGAATATTCTCACAGGTGGGTGCTGTGGAGCTTTGAGAAGACTCTCAGGTGTAATTATTCTTGTTGATCTCCATTAGTGACAGCATCACACTTCTAGAGATGTGTCCTCTGTGTCAAAGCTCAGAGGGATACCCCTTCAATGTTCAGAAGAGGCAATCAGGGGCAGAATGCTGCCTCGAGTTCAACATGTGTAACTAGCTGGGCCTGCAAACAACATAGTGACTGGAAAGCTGACGTTTATTTTCATCTGGTAGTGCTGTAATCATTACAGCATTTGGAATATGGTTTTCTGCTGGCAGCAGAATGGCTATAACTCCTGGTGCTCCTGTGTAAGCAGCACAGCATGTGGGGTATTGTTGAGCCTTGCTTCTGGCTGACAGTAATACCACGTTCAGCATGTAATTAAACAGCTCATAAACTGCCTTGAGATGTTTATTTATGTGCACTTTACAGCAGAGAAGTACTGTCTTTTCAGAGGATCCTGAAATTTCTGTACTCTGTGAAGCATTTGTATCTGACATCCAGTTCCCTTTTCCTTGACAAAAGTACTCAGTGTGGAGTGTGTTGTTTTGCTGGCAATGAAAAGCATACAGTTAGGAGATTTTCCCATGAAATTCTGTTATTGATTTTTGGATTATTGTGTGTGCATGTGGGGGCACTTTATAGCATTATCTATTCCAGATTAATATTTTTAGAGAACAAAATGATTTTGCATTTTGCTTGATAGAAACAAGGAAGGCTTGTTTCCAGTTCCTTGGGGATAAGCAGATACACATAGACATTAGGTAATATGGTAAGGACACTCTGTAAAAATTATCTGGGTGAATAGAAGAAGATGTCAAAAGAGTGTATTAGTAAATTTTTACTATTTTCTATGGCATTTGTTTTTTTCTTACAGTTTAGAGTGAATGAATTTGGGGCCCTGGAAGTGATTACAGATGAAACTGAGATGGAAAGTGTTAAAAAGGCAACTGCTACCACTACCTGGATGGTTCCAACTGCTCAAGAAGGTCAGTTAAGAGGTGATAGGCATTTTCTGTGCCAGACTGTATTTTAATATATCAGGTTTTCTTTAAAGGTTGCCCTGCAAAAAAAACCCAAAACAAACAACAGACAAACCCAACCTTATTTGCTCTAATGCACAGGGGACCTCTGATTTCACTTGTTTCTTGGGGTGGTAATAAGTATGAAAAGAAATATATTTTAAGTTTCAAGGAAGTAATTCCACTGTTAAACATCTGAACTTCAGTTGCCGCCATCTCTTTTTCTAAGCTTAGGATTGTTTTTTCCCCCTCTCTCAGATTTACAAAATAGTCAATTTCTTACTTTAAATTACTGAGAATTTTTCAGAAGTTATTTTTGTTGAACCAGTTCACCAGTCTGCCCACAGACTTTACTAACTGCCTACAGTTCATTTGTGACTGAAATACTGTGTACTGTAAACTTCCTTTGCATGATGCTGGCTGCTGCTCAGCTGCTACCACTGATGTCAATGTATGTTTGCACTCTTGCCTTGCTCCTCCTGACTATGCTTTTTTACAGTATTAAAATTAGTGTGTAGTAATCATTTATGTTTAGCTTGAATAAGAAAATTTTAATAGTTGTAGTATCTGTCTGCCAAATAAGGTATTTCCTGGATTTAAAATACTGATTTAAGGGAACAACTTTTTTATTCAAAGGCAGCTGGTTTTACATGGTCATCAGTTCTGGAAATCTTGATACTCTGATTCCAGTAATGAAGAAGTAGTGTGAAAGAGAATATCACAACTGGTTTTGTGACTACTTACAACTACCTGGTTTTTCCTTCTTGACACTGTATTTTACCAATTTGCTTTTAAAATACACATTCTGTAAGGTCTTTGAAAAGCAGACTTTAAAATTTTGATTTAATAATTATCAGTATAAACATGATAAGCAAAGTCGGTGATAGTTTTGCTACTTTTCCACCATCAAGTCTTGTCTTTTGTGAATAGGCAAAACATTTACACCAGTGGGAAAGTAGTTTGGACCTCAGCTGTGAGGTCTTCAGCTTTGGAAAACAGCTGCTCTGTTCTGTCAGTTTGTGTCCAAGGCAGTGACAGTTATTCAAGATTCAAATATGTGATGAGAGTAGCAACAGTGTGATAACATAGGGCAAAACAGGTTCTCTCCTTAGATTGAGAGGTCAGAGTTAATTGCATTAAAGTGCACAACTATTATCATAGAACCATAGAATAGTTAGGGTTGGAAAGGACCTTAAGATCATCAAGTTCCAGCCCCCCTGGCATGGGCAGGGACACCTTGCTCTAAACCATATCACCCAAGGCCTCATCCAACCTGGCCTTGAACACTGCCAGGGATGGAGCATTCACAACCTCCTTGGGCAACCTATTCCAGTGCCTCACCACCCTTACAGGAAAGAATTTCCTCCTTATATCCAATCTAAACTTCCCCTGTTTAAGTTTTAACCCATTACCCCTTGTCCTATCACTACAGTCCCTAATGAAGAGTCCATCCCCAGCATCCCTATATGCCCCCTTCAGATACTGGAAGGCTGCTATGAGGTCTCCATGCAGCCTTCTCTTTTCCAGGCTGAACAGCCCCAACTTTCTCAGCCTGTCTTCATACAGGAGGTGCTCCAGTCCCCTGATCATCCTTGTGGCCCTCCTCTGGACTTGTTCCAACAGATCCATGTCCTTTTTATGTTCAGGACACCAGAACTGCACACAATACTCCAAGTGAGGTCTCACGAGAGCAAAATAAAGGGGGCAGGATCCCCTCCTTTGAACTGCTGGTCATGGTCCTTTTGGTGCAGCCCAGGATACGGTTGGCTTTCTGGGCTGCAAGCGCACACTGAAGCCAGCTCATGTTAAGTTTCTTATCGACCAGCACCCCCAAGTCCTTCTCCGCAGGGCTGCTCTGAATCTCTTCTCTGCCCAGCCTGTAGCTGTGCCTGGGATTGCTCTGACCCAGGTGTAGGACCTTGCACTTGTCATGGTTAAACTTCATGAGGTTGGCACCAGCCCACCTCACAAGCGTGTCAAGGTCCCTCTGGATGGCATTCCTTCCCTCCAGCGTATCAACCGAACCACACAGCTTGGTGTCATCGGCAAACTTGCTGAGGGCGCACTCAATCCCACTGTCCATGTCAGCGACAAAGATGTTGAACAAGACTGGTCCCAACACCGATCCCTGAGGGACACCACTCATTACTGGTCTCCAGCTGGACATTGAGCCATTGACCACAGCTCTTTGTGTGCGGCCCTCCAGCCAGTTCTTTATCCACTGAGTGGTCCGTTCATCAAATTGGTGTCTCTCCAATTTAGAGACAAGTATGTTGTGTGGGACAGTGTCGAACCCTTTATACAAGTCCAGGTAGATGACATCAACTGCTCTACCCCTGTCCATCAGTTCTGTAGCCCCATCATAAAAGGCCACCAAATGGGTCAGGCAGGATTTCCCTATCACCTCTGGTCTGGAAAACCTAAAAAACCCCAAACAAATAATGCTAATATTGAATTAAAGTATGTTTATGGACACATAAATATGCCAAGTAAGCATTCTACTCCTGCCTTACACTGTTCTTGATGAATTTAATGCTCTCCAAAAGTAAAAACTGTTTCTGAAATTTTCCATTGTGAGAGGAAATGGTTGTTTTGAACCACTAATGATGCTGGAGTGAAAATAAAACAATAAATGATACATTCTTCTAGTGGAGATAGTCTGCACAGATGAGTTCATTTGAGATGCTCAAGCAAAAGAAAGAGTTTATGACTTGAAGTTTGCCTTTTGGGGGATGCAAAGTCAGTGCCCTGGTACAGAAGCTGGAGAATTTTACAGTGCTTCATACTCGCCTTTGAGTGAAAGAAACGCAGTCTCTCAGTCTACACACCTCTTGTGGAGAAACTGTATCTTAGGATGAGTAACTTTGTATTTGAAAAAAATATTGTTACAAATCAATGATTTTTTTTTTAATTCTTGTGGGTGTCAGGCAGGTTGAGCAAAGGCTACTGCTCTGAGGGACTGTAGATTTAGTCAGTGATTTACTTCCAGAAATAAGTTCACATATTGAAAGATAATTCCCCCCCAAATCTTTTTCCCAAATAACCTTTTATAGAGGTCAAAAATGAGGCAGGTCAGCAGGAGGTGAGATGATGGGTTCCATGCAGTGATGGTGCCTGTCACAAAATTCACTCCTTCCACAAGTAGTCACATCAAGCAGTGTCAATGTTTCACTGACTGCAGAAGCATGAAATTGGTGGATTCGTCTCTCTTGTTTTGCAATATGAAAACCCAGTTTGCTTGTCAGGAATACGGATCCCGTACAGACCCTAACTCCCAGTTCTTAGTTCTAACAAGAGTGGTGTGACTTTTGTTTTCCTGTTTGCTTGGCAAGGCCTGCTGAGGGTGTTTGGAAGTGTGTCACCTCTACCTAAGTGAAGTTATTTTTTTTCATTGTACAGCCTTTTCAGAAAAGACAGGGATCCCCACAAGGTTGAAGGAAACTGCAAAAATGGATGGACTTGTTTTCTGTGAAAACTGTTACCACTATGGTACCATAGAAGAATTTGTTTCCGAAGGAAAGTTTTGCAGCCAGAAATGTGCCCAGCAAGTAAAAAACAAGTAGGTACTTTTATAATGTATAGAAACAAAGAATTTGACATAAATGCAGCATGAAATCGAAGGGAGATATTAAGCAGGCACATTTTGGTGAATTTGCTTTGGTTTCTAATGTTCTTCCACTGTTTTTTAGGTAAATGCTTTAACAGTATTTGGTTTTGTCTAACAGTGATGTTAAAGGCAGTCTTTTCTGCTCAGTGTGCTGTGTTCTACTGTCAGATGCAAGCGGTAAAACAGTCTATGGGATGCATGAATCAGTGTCAGACTCCTACCCTGTTTCATATTCATGAGAATTAAGATAATCAGTAATGAGATGGTTGATGTGGTAACTTAAATATAATTAAGTGCAAGAGCTATGTTATAGATGACAGTGAGTGAAAACATGGACATACTGTAGTTTCTCAGTTCCTTTTAGGTAGTTCATCTCATCATAAAAGGAGGCTGTCTTAGTGTGTCTGTTTTGTATTATATATTACTGCATTATGGCAGTTTTTAACATCTATGATTTTTTTCTGCATTTTCCTTCATTTTTAGCTAATTGCTAAATTGCTTTGAAGTTTTTGAAATAAACTGATTGCTTCAAAGTTTTCTGTTCTGATTGCATGTTTAGCAATTTGTACATCACATACCAACTTTCTCCAATTGGATTTGTCAGTCTTAACAATTACCTTTGCTTTCCTGTCTGTAAGCTGCCCTGCAGTCCTGAGCATTTCACAGTTTGCTTCTCCATGAGACTTTATGGTACATGGGAAAAAACACATTGTTTAAAACATGCAGAACTTGTTCCATGTAAGCTGACAGCTTTCTTTTTGCAGTTGCTATTGTGTCTTTCAGATTAGTTCATCTGGCAGATGTAATTTCCAGTAGCATTTCTAAGAATATATTTGGTATAATACTCTGGGACCAACTTGACCTTCAGATTTACTTGCTGTTCGCTTTTTTATGAATATGAGAAGTGAAATAATATTGGCTTTGTGTCATTGTGTTACTCTTGTAATAGAGAACCAAAGGAGGAAAAGCCCAGTGTGGAATGCAATGGGGAAGATGATTCCAAAGGCATTCGGAAAAGAAAAGCAAAGTTACCTCTCAGAGAAGAGTCCAGGGATAATGGGGAGAAGAAAGAGAATCCTGATGAAACTGTTAGTATGCTTCATAAACCCTTTCCTGCATGTATTTCAGTGGGAGTTTTGCCTTATATTGCAATGTCAGTAATGTCATCAGTCTACAAAGAGAAGTGATGGTATCACTCTGTCAGCACCACAGTAACTAGTTGATTCACTTACCAATTTAGTTATGCCTCATCTGTAAATTGTAGTTATTGACAATGAACTGATAAGAGCTGGTTTTGAACTCTTTTCCTTCCTTTATTTAGAAAACAACAAAAATAATTTAAAGGAAAAATGATACTAACCTAGACTTGTTATATGTTCAGCATAGAAAAATAGGAGTACATATTTGCCAACACCTGTCACTTTGTCACTCTGCACATAAATAAATGACTACAGACCAATAATTTATTTACAAAGAAAGCTACATTGCAGTTAAGAAGAGAATAGTTTTGATTTTCTAAGCGTAATTTGCCTTAGAAAATTGTGGATAAAGATTTGATTCTGGTTTATGTTAGTATAATGTCTTCTGGGGTACCTTCTGGTTTTTTTCCTTTTGGGTTTATTCTTCATTTTAGAATTAACTTATTACAGTATCTTCCCATAATGTTTGTTTTTCTGCAGTATTTGTTTTCTTCCCGGTAGCTCTGATACTGCTGGGAGGAGCACAGTTTTGAGGGAGAAGGGGAGAGCTCTAGAAGTGCCAAGTTGTCAAAAGGCTGAAGACGGTTGGGTTGTTGAAAGGGAATTTGTAGCTGTCTGTATAGCAGTATCTTAGGCAAAAGTCAGGGGATACTTCTGTTGCCTCCATGTGTCTGCCTTCCTAAATGGTTACTTATTCTCTTCATCTATTCAGCAGTTAACAAAACTGTTAATACACAAACAGTGAAATAAATAAAAAGGATCAGTGCCATTTTATAGTTAGTAAAGCAATTGTACATTTGAAAAGAACAGACTAAAGCTGTAAGAGGTTTTCCTTTAAATTTTTTTGGCAGCATGAACATACCAAAGATACTGCTATTTATCTCTGGTGCAGTAAGGCCTGCTGCAGGCTTTGTGATCTGTTCCTGGTATAGACAAGGCTGGCTGGCTGAGAGGTGGAGTTGAGAGTCCTCTGTCATTTTCATTGTGTTTGCTGTGATTTGTCACTGATGGCTTGCTTAGCTTTTATTAGATATCTGTAGGTTTGTTCGAAACAGCAGAGAGCTATGTCAGTAGCCATTTAAATGAAGTCATAGTTAAACCTTGGATGTCTTCACTTTACTGTACTAGACTTCTGAACTAATGATGTTACTATATTCTTTTTTTTAATTTAGGAAGACAAACCTGAAGGAAGGATCTTGAGAGTCTCACAGAGAGCCAGGAGAAAAAGAAAAGGGGAAATAACAGTTTTGAAGCAAAGTAAGTTAGATTACAAAATAAAAATCTCAGCTATCAATTCTTTAGGTAGTATCCATCTCTTATTGTGAATTGCCAGCGTTGTTTGACTGAATTTGTATTCCCTATTGAATACTCTTTTTTTCCAGTTCAGTTCTGTGAAAAGAGAGCAGTAGTGTTACTTATAGCAATTAAGTTTTAAGGACTGAAAAATTGCAAGAGCCGAGAGAATTGTAGTGAAAAACCCCATCACTTGGAGATTGATTACCTTTTACAAAGAACCAGTTTATATACCTTTGACAGCATGGAGGAGGATATAGTGAGTGTAAGTGTAATTGATATACATTTTAGAGATTTTTTTCATCCTTCTAAACAGTGTCAATATTAAAGGGAATCAGGCCCATTGAGTTCCCAGATGTTGAAAGACATGTATTAAAGTAGAAGTGAAAGTTTACTTTTCTTTCCTTGGGGATCAATTTTGTATCTGCCGTATGTGCTGGAAGGAGACACATTAGTGGAACTGTTTAGGAATAATTGCTGTAATCAGTCCAAAGGGACATACACTGCATCAAGCGGCATAATAAAACATATTTTAAATGAGTGCAGTTTTTTCAAGCTGATAGATACTTTTAGGAAGAATGAGAGAATCAGTAGCTATTATACCTCAGTGGTACACCAAACACAAACCTACATCTTGCCCTGCAAAGTGTTTCTTATGGTAGACTGGGAGCCATTACCAGAAGTTGCTGGGCCACTAATCATCACAGAGCTCCAAACAACTCTGCTGCACACTAGGCAGATGAAATACTGATTGAAGATGCAACACATAAAAGTTATGGAAGATCTCCCCCTGAGATAGAATTACTCCTGAAATAAAATATTATTTCTACAGTTGTTTCCAGAGCTGAGGTGTGATAAGAAGCTTGTGAGACGCAAGCACAAAGCTGATGCTCTATGGAAATCACTGCTGTCCACCTGTACAGATTTCTTCTGTTTGTTTTTATTTGGGAAAATGTCAGTTCAGCACAAGAGATTTGGAATAAAAGACCAATTTATATTCAGAACCAAGCACATAACTGTGTTGTGCTGAGCAACACATCTTTTAAATGGCGTAGATAAAACCTGGGTAAATCACAGGTAAAATAAGATGAATGTGCTTTAATAGTGTTGCGCGATCGCTGTCATTCTGAATTTTGCTATCTTTTGGTTACATTATCAGCTTTCTTCAGGAGAGTTTGGCACTGTTATGCTTCATGTTTAATTATAAAAGTACTTAGCCAGACTGTTACTTAAGGGACTTCTCTTTTGAGTAGTCCACGATCAGGATCGATCCAAAATCATAATGCAGACTGTGAAGAATCCTCCTGGCAGCATAAGCTTATGGCCAGAAATGCTAAGCTGCATGTGCAGAGGCAGAATCTTAGGTAAAGATCAGTAGAGCAGGGTGGAGGTGTTTGAAAGTAAATACATACATGCTAGTCTCACAAACCATCTGGTTTTGAAGTTCTTGGCTTTTGCTAATGTACTTAGTTCCTTATTTTCAAGGCCTAAAAACTGTTATTCACTGATGTGACAGTATTAAGGTAGACTGTAACCAGTATTACAGCAAGTGTATGTGGGTATTCATACTATACAAGCAAACCTGAAACTGGAGATTGTTGTCATGTGGTAATAACATGATGGGGGGAAGAAAGCACTGGTGACAGTTTTGATGGCTTGGAGGAATTACTGTTAAATCATTGCCTTTCCACCCAGAACCATCAAACTACAAAGATGGAGTAGGTTAGAAGCATTCTGAATAGGGTTAAAGAATCAAGTATTTCAACTGTGATCAAAAAAAAACCCAACATGTCACAAGTTCCATCCATTTACAAATGCTTTCCTGGCAAAGAAATTCTCAGGAAAAAATAAAAGTAAAATATTGAGCTACTTTGTGAGTTTAACTGATCTTTTGACACATTGGCAAATCGTGTATCTTAATGCTTCTTATGAGCAATAAGGTAAAAAGGACAGGGGGCAAGACTTTGTAAGTTGTTCTTGTCACCTGAAAGACCTTTTTCTTACTAGTAATCAAATTTCTGTTGCTGGAAATCTTTCTATGCAAACCAGGAACCTTTGTGTTCCAGGTGCTGTTAAACCTACAGAGCTACTTATTTCCTAGAAATAAGTACTGAGAAACTTCATGAATGCATTTAAAAAAATGTAGATTTGAGATAGGTGTATTATAAACTTTGAAGTGTTGTTTAGGGTTTTTTGTTTTGTTTTTCTTTGGAAGTAACAACTACAGAATTCCTTTGCTGTTGTGTGCTTCTTTACAGCTATACCCTCTAAAGGAAGGCAAGCATGGTGTTGGGCATCCTATCTGGAGGAAGAAAAAGCTATTGCAGTACCTACTAAGCTTTTTAAAGAGGTACGACATTCTAAAGTTTAAGTCAGGCAGCTACCTAAGATCATGAAATTTCTAGGAAATAATTAAAAGAACTAATTTGGAGATTTTAAAATTCCTTGGGGAAAACTCTACATGATTAAAATAATGGTATCCATCAGCAATTGTCAAGATAGTTGGAACATGTGAAATTAGTTATCTTTCTTTACTTTTTCAGAGAATTCTGTAGTTGCAGATGAATGCTGTCAGCTGAGACTGCAGAAAGCAGATGCTTTTCCAAAATCTGCAGATTCTAGCCTTTCCTTGTAATTTCTGAAGCTAAGCATCTAATAATAATATACCGTCATTTTTTTATTTCATATCATTCTCTTTGAACATATTTAGAAAGGTGGTACAAAGGTAATCTTTTGGCTTGTTGCTTTGATTATATTACCTGTCTTTTTGCAGCTTCTGCTTATTACATTAGATACTGATTTGGCTTGTTTCCATTTGTCTGCCGTCTGATTGGATGTCACTTCATCATCTCTTGCTTGTCCTTTGCTGGCTATGGTAGTCTTTGTCATTTGTCATTTCAGTGCTTTCTCTAGTGCAGCCTCTCTTGCTTGGAAGAGAATTCTGTACACAAATTCTCACAGCTTCCATTCTGTTCTCCTGTCTTGCAAAACCTGGCAAAACATATGAACGTGTCTCAGCGGCTGTACTTCTGATATGTATATCCAGTATTATTTATTGATAACTCTGTTCAAACTTGTAGTCTGTTTCTTGTATCCATTTCCTAGTTTGCTTTATGCTTCAACTGTTAAATCTTTTGTGCAGAGATTAGCTTTTCAGTTTACATGTGCATGTGGTGCTGACCTTTAATTGGTGCTATTAGACATTACTGACATACAAAAATAAAGAACTGGGATAGCAGTGTAGAGTCCATAGATTTGTAAGTGCAAGAAAGACAATTAGCTTACCATCCTGCGTTACATACCCCTGTGCTATTTGCTGGTTGAAAATTTAACAAGAAAAAGAATCTGGATATGTAATGTCTCTATCTGGAAGGTAGGTTTACAAAGCGTTGCTCTGCCTCTCTGAAGTTCCATGAAATGCTCTTGGTGGCACACAGGCATATATCAGCCTTTCTGGGCACTGTAGTGGTAAAGTCTGAAGTTACATGATGATGTACTGTTTCCTTTATTTTTCTCCACATTGTACCTTTCCCATTCAGTGCATATTATTTCATATTTTGTTTTAAATTCTTTAGCCCCTGGGTAACTCTAGGGTATTATGTAGTGTGCAGTATTTAAAGTGTGGAGAGAATTGTTAATAACACTCAGAAGTGTCCATGTAATTTTTTACAGATGCACAAACAAGCCACAGGAACAGGAAAGTTAAAAAAACCAAAGCAAAATAAAACAAACCCCACCCCCACCCCCCACCAAAAAAAAAACAAAACACAAAAACCCTGCAAAAAAAACCCAAAACCAACCAACAAACAAACAACAAAAAAAAAAACCAAACCCAAACATTACCACTGATTTTGAATCATTGTTTCCCATTTGGATTGTGAGCATTATTCTTATTTTTTCTCTATTTTTCCAGTTCAAAAGCAGTACTTTTCATTGTGTTTTTTCATATCCTTAATTAGGAATGGTCAGGGTAGGAGTCCTTGCCATTTCTTGGTACTTAAATCTTAGGGTTATTTCTAGGCTGTGACTGACAAGCTGTTTCTGCTTCAGTAAAAAAATTATCGACCGCTGAATTTTGATTTTTCAATCCGCAGCTCCCCTCATGTAATCTTTTGGGGTTTGTTTATGTTCTTGCACCATACATAAGCATTTGTGATCCTCAGTTTGACATCTCCTCATTTGCTGACTGCAAAGTATCTTTAAATGTTTCTTGTGAAGGTAATGTGTGATTACTAAGTTTGCCATAGCTTTAGCTTGGGTGATGTACTGAGAATAATGCACAAAACTGAAATCTCTTGAAGACTGTTAAAGTTACCAGTCTTCTAAAAGTTGCCTGTTATTTTGCTGTAACAGAAATAGATTGTGTTGCCTTAGAAGTTTTAGATTTGATAATGAAAAGAATAGTGATTGATTCGTTCTTAAATTTTAGGAAATACATGTGTGATAATGGGTTTGCTTCCTTCTGAGTAGGGACCTCTCTGAGTACCTGCCTTGGTACTTGTCTCTTTCCATCGACTGCAGCGGTACTGCAGATGGCTAGGGAGCATGCATAGCTTTTAGGCAGGAGCAGAAGGAAGGAGTGGCACATAAGATGCTTCTCCCATATTTTGCTGTAACCATTTGGAACATAAAACTGGCTGTGAATTTGTTAACCTGTGGAAAGAAACTCTCTTCAGTTTTAGTCATTTTTCTGATAATCCCTCCAATTTAGGCAGAGGGCAGGGAGCATGATACATGGGATGCTGATGCCTTCCAATTGAAAAAACTGTTCTGCTTAGCCTTGTTTTCACTTTATTTTCTTTGAAAGATATTCCTCTGGGTTTGTTGTAATGGGTTACAAGGGTAGGTGTGTTCCTGTGATGCAAATGTATTCCTGAAAAACTAGATAATGTGGACTCAACATATAAAGGGGAAAATGTCATCAAAGAGGCCATCCCTATATGCAAACAGTGTTTCATATTTCTGCCAAACAGCTCATTTTTCATATCCTGAGATGTGGAAATTAAAAGGCAAACTAGAGCATCATCATTATTATAATAGGAAAGATGACAGAAAGGTGTCAAAATGTTACTGAGCAGGCTGAAAAATCAATAATTACATTGTTAAAATGTTTTATTGACAACTAGTGAAAAAAGCTGAGGGTAAATCATGTAATCTTCTTTCCCTTAATTAACCTTTTTGCTAATTTTTTATAATTTTCTTACGTACTCTCAAGTTTTAAGTCATTCTGGTATCAAGGTGGTTTTTAAACAATCATTCTCTCTTTTCCACTGTGTGTTTTTAAAAATACAAAACTTACTTTACAGTGATTTATGAATAAGAATCATTGTTCTTTTCCTTGTAAAGATACTCTTTCTCTTTTATAGTTTCAGAAGTATTGAAACTGTTCTTTTCCATTATAGTATCAGTCTTTCCCATACAACAAAAATGGTTTCAAAGTAGGGATGAAGCTGGAGGGTGTGGATCCTGAGCACCAGTCGATATACTGTGTTCTCACAGTGGCTGAGGTAAGTAGAGGCTGCGAGCAGCCATGGTGTGCAATTACAGGAGAGACTGAACCAAACCAGCAGTAGCTGAAAGAGCTCATTCAACCCTAACAAGCAGACAGAAATTGTATGTGGGAAAATGTTTTTTAACTTAATAATGCTGCATTAAATTTACCTGACAGGCATGTAAAGACTATCCAATGCCATACAGCAGTGACTGTTTACGTGTATTTAACAGAAGCAGCTAGAAGAAACAGCGTTACACTAGTTGGATGGTGTATGATTTTTCTGTAGTCTTGTAGTTTAGATCTATATTTAAAAGACAAAGTAAGCAGGAAAAACATAAGTTGACAACTGATATATAGTAGGTTTATAGACATTTGATAGTATTTGCAGTTGCTGCTTTCACTGATATAAATACCAGGCACTTTCTTGTATTGCAGTTGTGATAATTTTTCCAGGCTGATGGCCTCCAAAATAGCCTGTATTGGCAACTTCTACAAGTTAGTATACAATATAAACAGTATACAATATAAATGCAGTTTGTGGTTTTGCTACGCTTTATGAAATATTTTTTCTCAGGGGTAGCTTCTTTGCTTTTAGGAGTATAAATGGAACCTGTTTTTCAGTTACATTTTATGTGCCTGTCAAACATACCTTACATTAGTTTTTACATAGTTTAACCAAGGATCCTGTTTTGGTTTTGTTTTGTGAATTAAAACAGGGAAACATTAAAATTAAAATTAGAATTAAAACAGGAGTAGATAGGTACTATGTCACTGTATTCTAGGCAACACCAGTTTTGCAGTTTATATTTTAATAGCCTAGGCTTTTGTGTTCCCATTTCTGGATCTCTTCATGGCCCATAGTCGTATCCCATTTCTGCAGATGTCTGTTACATTTTCTTGCGGATGTTATGTCAGTAGATGAGTGACCTGGATTCCAGAGAACTCTGAGATGGCAAACTGAAAGTTATGTCAGGGAATAATTGAAATACAAAACAGGGTGACCTTGATGTCAAGAGATTTTCACTGGTGACTCTCATAACTCAGGAAGATATGGAGAATTTTTGTGCAGAGAATTTTTGTCCTGTTTTTCTCTCATTCTCAGTGGTTAACTTATTACTTCTTGAAATTATGAAGGTTCTGGGTGATACCTCCACTCATTTCTCATCTTTAGCGTTCTCAGTATCTCTCTGGAGAGCCTGTTGATCATAGTTATTGCTGAGTGTTCCCTTGGATATTAATTGGGATAGCTTGAGAGCATCGTTATTTGTGCTTTGTCCATGACTGTATTGGATGTATTAATGTTTTTCTGTTAGGTTTCTGCTTTGTTTTGATGTTGGGTTGAACAGTTTTCAAGTTTTTAGACAGTAATGTCAACATCCAGCTTTTAGTTAATTCTTTTTACCGGAAGAGGAGGCACTTGGACTGAGAATACCTTTGCATTTTTATTCTTTTCTTTTAATCAAATGAATTGATTTATCCAGTATTGGTTTTAGCAGAAGTAAAAGGCTGACTGAAAACTCACTATTGTTATACGTAATACTTGAACAGAAGCTTTTGTGTGAAGGGCAAACATTTTAAACCACCGTGTTTTATGTTGTACATTCTTGCTTTTAGGTTTGTGGCTACAGAATACGGCTCCATTTTGATGGATATCCAGACTGTTATGATTTCTGGGTGAATGCTGATTCTTCAGACATTCATCCTGTTGGATGGTGTGAGAAAACAGGTCACAAGCTTCATCCACCGAAAGGTATAGTTTAATTGAAATGTGTGTGTTTCTCATAGTTCTGATTAAGTCTGTCTGCATAGTACTGTAATTTTTGTTTTTGGGAGAAGTGTTTCAGTTTAGTCAGAGTATTTGAATGTGGCAAATTAAACTCTCTAAGTCTTTTTTAAAATCTGAAGGTTCAAATCCTACCTTTTTTGTTTGGTGGAAATTCATAGAAAAGAAAATGAACTGTTAAGAGTCACTCATAAGGCATTAGGAAAGAAAGTTAAGCAGTAAACCTAGACCCCAGATGAATGTTTATTGCAAGTAAAATGGCAGCTTTCTGGTGACATATATGCTTAAATTGACATCTCACAGGCAGCTGAGAATCTTCTAGTGGAAAGTCTTAGGACATTTGCATTACTAGATACCGATCGTCATTATTGTACATGTGTTGGCACACACTAATAAAGATTGAGCTCTTTCCAAAAAGAGTAAGCTTGAAATAGAGGTGAAAAGAGGAATGAACAGATAAGGATGGAGAAAAAAGGGGAAGACTACAAGCCTGAAAGTGTAATTTGTACATAGCTTATTTAAATGGTGTGCAGGTGTTCAAATACGTCATTTGCTCATGTAACTCTTTAATTTTGGCAGATGGAGGGCATTTGCACTGAACTGTACCATGAAAAAGGAATGAATGGGCTCCCTTTTGAAACAGGGAAGGGAATATGTGGGGATGAAGGGAGCAAATCCTAAAGAGAGGAGAGTGAGAAACAGATGAATGTGGTGTTTTGATGTACGCAGTGAAGGTAGAATAATGTGGTTTAGAAGGGTTGCAAAATTATGAGTGTACAGATTCAAGAGGATGTGTTACGGAGGATTATAAAACTGGATGTAAGCACTCAAGTGTGAAAAGCAAGGGTAAAACCACTGGTAGTGGTAGAGTTATGGCGCCTGCCATTGTGGCAGAACATGGCATTTTCCAGCTGAGCCTTGGAGGAATATGACTGAGTGTGTGCTGCTCATGAGCACTCTGTGAGCTCAACTCTGGCTACAGGGCAGGGAGTGCTCAGTGCTGCCACCCCTGTGCGGGAGTTTTCCTTAAGGCACAGTTCTGCATAACTGTGTAGGAATATCAGTTTCTTGAGCATAAATTAGAAATTCGCAAAAGGTTAGCCTCCACTGAAGTAGTAAGTTATATGTAGCAAATGGGTAGTCCCCAGTTGTAGAGTACTGATGTTATTAATAGCATGCTTAGGAAGTTCTATATAATCTTTTCCATCTTAAATGTTTGTTTTAGAAAGCTTCATCTTTTGTTAACCGTGAATTACTGCTGCTGTAGGAAAGTTACTGACTTTCTCTGAGTCACTTTTATGAAAAGTTTCATTAGTTTCTCTTCTAATTTTAAGCTGGTGGGAAGAATGTTCTTTTCTGTTTATTTTTTCAGCATACTGAAGTAGTGAATGTGGTCTTTCACTTAGGAAAGTCATGGAGCCTGTCAGAGATGTTGAGGGAGACAAGTTAGGGGGGTATATGAAGGTGATTGTGAGAAATCTGGTTGTTATCCTGCACAGTCATGTACTATCTCCAAGTCATATTCTTGACTCTGAATAGCAAGATTGTGCGCTGATAGTTTTATCTAAAACCTGCAAAATACTGTCCCCCTTGCATGGTTTGGCTGTTGCTTCACCTCTGTGGTAAACAGTTTTAGCATTGATGAGGTACGGTTTGAATGCAAAACCTACTTTTGTACTTAGGGGATTTCTTCAATTGGCCCAGTACAAGCTTACCTTGCATATGGGATGAAAGAACAAGCAGTATTGAAGAGTCATGTTTTGGAAGGAGGCTGAGGGCAAACAGCTGTTCACTAGTTATACATATTTTTTCTAGTTTTACTGATATTTGTGGAGTTCTGTTATTCCAAAGGGATGGAGAACATGCTGGTCTTAGGTTGTTGGGGCTTCTTGTGTGTTTTTATTGGGTTGAACGGATTACTTAGATTTCTCTGTGGTATAACATTTTAATGGTTTCTCTTTAGTGCTCAGTGCAAATCATATGGACGCTAAAATTATGCTAGTTATGACATAGGGCACCATATCTTATATAAAATACCACTTCAGAGAAGAACTCAAAGGTTTGCATTAGTAGCCATTCATTTTCCAGATATAATTCAAATTTATGACCTTCATGGTATAAACCGCAAACAGTCTGGAACCTGGTGGCCTGAGAAAGGAGCAGAGAATCCTGACTGCTTTTCTGTGCAGTGTGGCCCTGGTTAATCATTCCTGCAAGCTTGGACAGAAGTGTCCTGCTTCACAGGAGTGGTTGTGTATGCTCAGGGGTGTTTGGGGGCTCAGTAACTGACTCCTGGTTTTCTGAGTGGGTTGAAAGTGGGTAACTTTCCAAACAGGCATAAATTGATCTTTCCTGGTGAGTGTTCTGAGGCTATTTTATTGTCATGGGAAAGGACTGTGGGTGGTGAGAGGGATATGAGAATGGAAGAATATTATTCTAGATGTTTTCTGATAGATATCTCTATTGTTTATTAAAATGGAAAGGATGGGTAAGTCTTGGTACCTTGCAGCAGGATGTCTCCCATCCCTGTGGCAGCAGAGGCAACAGGCGGCTGTTGCTGGGCTGCCAGCAGGCACACAGAGTGAAGCAGCAAAACTGAACTGGGCTTCATGGAAGGAAAAAAAGATGGTGTTTCAGGATGCTGTTTGTTCTGTGTGCACAGGTCACATTTCTGTCTCATGTGGGTGAGACCTGCAGAGAGGGAATGGCTGTGTGTGTGTTCCTAGAATTATCACGGGCTCTGCTGTGATAATACTGGATTTGCCTGAATTGGCCAAGAATCATATGGATGCAAAAGGGAGAATTTGGTACAGCAGAGGCTGCATGGTCTTCTGCAGTTAGCAGGGAGTGGAAGAGCCTTGAAAACTAACTGTCACCAAAGGTCCCAAAGTAAAAAATTGCATTGACTCTGTTTCTACAGTGACTAAATCAAATTCACCTTTGTCTCTTTTTGAGAGATGAGGTAGGAGCTAGAGATCTCCCTATCTCACTTAGCAACAGAAAGAGCTGCTTGTCCAGAAACTGTTTCAGGGTCTACGGAAGCAATTTTTTTTCATGGACATTGACTCAGTATGAGTACCTGATCTCATTACATGTGCAGTAGGTGGGAGTTTTGTGGTGTCGCCTGTGAACTTTGAGTCAGATCTGAATATCCTCTAAAATTACAAAGGGAAAATTAAAACCTCGATACCACATTCCTTTAAAAATGGTTGCAGTTGATCTACAGCTGTAGTGTATCAAGACGAGGCAATTGAAGTATAAAGAAAAATACTGTTGTATGGACTTAGAGGTTAATGTATATTGGCTAATATTTAAAATGATAAGTGGGAAAGCCAGATGCAGAGAAGGTGAAAGATTCCTTACTTGCAGTTCCTTGGAAAGTATGAGGTTCTCCAAAGGTTAAACAGAGCAAATATGACACAAATATGTCTCTGGCATATTTGAGTAACACTTCAAATACTCAAGAGGTTGACACATTTCAGAAAAAGCAGTCAGTCACTGAAGTTCCTTGTGCTTTTGGTCTTGTTTTACTGCATTGTAACTTAGGAACTAAAGTAGATGTTTCTGTAACTATTACTTAACAGGAGAACACAGGAGGAAGACTGTTTGCTTCCAACTCTTAGGATTGTTTTATAGATTAGAAGTACAAACTGTTCCTTGTGAATTACCTTATGCAGTTCAGTATAACTTGAACGAACTTTATGCAGTTCAATATATTACAAATATCTTATTTTTTCCTTAAGAAAGTAGAAAGGGCTTGTTTTGGATGTGATACCAAAGCCAAACTGAAGTCTCCTGAGTTCTGTCCTAGAGTTTTGTTCATATGACTAATCTTCCTCCCAGATGAAAATTAAGCAGTTCAAATTAAAGTCCTAGACGACTATAAGAAATTAATAATGTTCAGCTCAAGAAGACAGAGTTTAGTTTAGTTTCAGTTAGTTTAAAGAAATCTTGACATTTTGGTAAGGAAGCTCAGCCAACCCTAAAGAATATGATTCCGCTGTGTAATACCAGATATTTGGTAAATAAAACATCCTTATTTACCAAATAAAAATAGAAAAGCTTTGTCAACTTTCTTCTGAACTCTAGAAGTTCCTGTAAAGTGTGTCCTGCTAAAATTTCAAATAATCCAAATTGGCGCTCCCTCAGAGACTCACTGAGTTTATATTGGGGCAGAATTAATAGGTAGTTTTAAAGTAACTTTCCCCAACATAGTCATATAAAATTAGAATAAATAGTTAGTTTCACATAGTCTTTTCAGTTTTGAAATTTTAAGAAGCAGTTCAGAACTGGATGGGGAAAATAATTTATTCAGTTATGATCAGATCACCTTCATGCACCTCGTGTTTCATGCCTGTCATTTTTTGCCCCTCTTTTATGATCCTCGTTTAGGATATAAGGAAGAAGAATTCAGCTGGCCCTCATACCTAAAGGCATGCAAAGCTCAAGCTGCTCCTAAATCACTGTTTGAAAACCAGAATGCAGTAAGTACTCACTTATTACTAATGGCATGGAAAATTGCTAGTACGCTCATGTGTGTGGTACAGATTTGCAGCACATTTTAGTAGTGGCAGACTTGAAACCTGAAATTTAAGATAAAAATGTTTACAACACATACAATAACAACCTGCACTTCACCTCTGCAGTTCTGATTCATTAAGTTTTTACTAGTCCGTTTAAATATCTGATCTGGCACATACAGAAATGGTATATTAAATGAAATTTAAGACTTGTTGTTAGTACTGTGTCTTGCACCATAATGTTGTGGAACAAGCACAGTCTTCCAGAGGGAGTATCTAAGAGTTAAACCCAACACATTTAATTTTAACCACATTGTTTAGGGCTTTTTTATTTCAGAAACCATGAGGCTCTGTGTTTAAGCATCTGTCTTGTCAGCTAATTAGGTTGCTGCAACTCTGTTGGGGCAGCTAATTGTGAACCTTAGAAGTGACATGAATATATTGATTGTGGACACAGAGGTGATTTATGGATTTATAGTATCTATTTTCAATTAAAACTCTTTCTGTATGTAGACAGTGATTCCGTCGGGATTTCGAGTGGGGATGAAGCTGGAAGCTGTAGACAAGAAGAACCCGACTTTCATTTGTGTTGCTACGGTAACAGACATGGTGGACAATCGTTTTCTGGTTCATTTTGACAACTGGGATGAGAGTTATGACTACTGGTATGACGTTTTTGTTTTGTACCTTACTGAGACATATCAGAAATGTGATAGCTTTAAGCACTATTTTCTGTGATACCTTCCATACTGTCGGTACAGTTACCATACCAACTTTGCTAGATTTGGGATCATGGCCACCAGTGTATGTGGCCAACTGGAGGAATCAAATTTCCCATGTCAGGTCGCAAATAAAAAAATTCAAGATTGTGCTAAATGAGTATTTGCATGTGCTGTTACATCTGGAGCTGTGGATTAATTTTTAGGAATTGCAGAGTATCTTTTTTAATTAGTTAGTATCTCTGAAATTGATAGCTTTAGTGAAGAATAAACACCATGATAATGTGACTAACTGTACTTGGAGTTAGGTTTACATATTGTAAACTCAAAGAAGGGCTGCATTTTTTTTCCTAAGGTTCTTGATCCACTGACATTATTCAGACTGAAAGGTAACCGTCTTCTGTATGGCGTCTGTAGTAGGAAGGCATACTGTAGGCATTTGTAGTAGCAAAATCTGGTTTGTCTCTTGTGTTCTACGTTCCTGTGAAAACTGGGATCCTGTTATCCTGATTTGTGTTAGAGATGATGTTTCTGCATGTTGTAAGGTGGAAGGGCTTTGTGTATCTATAAAGAAAAGTCAGTGGAAGGAACAGGACATACTATGAGCATAAAGATATTGAAGGAAGTTCATGCTTTCGCTGTCACAGTGCAGGTTTGTATTTGCACTTGGTTCTTGACAGATCATTTAGAGCAAAGTAATATATCTTACGTTCTTTAAAGACTAAGATACTGCAGAACAGGTAGAATATTGTAAGTCTGCATCTTGGGTTTGGTAGTGGCAACTTAATTGTATAGCCAAACCTGTAAAAATAAATGAAGAAAGTTTTCTTCATCTGTATTTGATAACTGCTTTAGGCACTACATCAATGAGGATGATGTGAAACTGCTATGTAACTTCAAAACTTTGTGAGTCTATATCTTGAAATAATAATTGTATGAGCTACATGACAAATAAGCTGTAGGAGAGCTAAATTATTGAAGCAGTGGTGAAAAGGCATTTCTCTGAAGTCAAGAACTGAATATCAAGATAATTGGCCATTTGAGTCAGAGACCAGAAAGATAAGTGATTATTTCCATTAAGAAGTAACATAGAACATAGATTTCTTCTACAAAGCAGCAGGAAACTGGGGACTGGGAAAAGGTATTCTGAATTTCCTGGTATTTGAATGTTCACTAATAACTGTTTATGCCAGTAGGTAATAATGAAAACAAAAGTTAGGCAAGGCTTTTAGGGGAAACAATAATGCAATATAACCTGTAGTTTGTTCCATGGTAGCATAGGTATCTCTAAAACATTGCACTGTTGTGTAGCAGACATACACTATATTTCAGGCTTGTTAATATTCCCATGTCAACACGATTTTGTCCTTCAATCCTCTCAGAAGAGGGGAAAGCACTTTTAAAGTACATAACCAGGCTTCACGTTTTTGTAGTCATAGTATTCTATGAAGGATGAGGGAAGATTGAAGTGGAAAATGTATAGGTGTTTGAGAAATCACTGGAGTTGTATTTATACTGAAGCCAAGCTGAAGATTTGTTCTTTTGATGAAATTGTAAAATACCTTTCTCAAAGGAGCAAGAAAATGCTGCTGGAAATACTGTGCGTTGAAATTAAATTCTGAGTGGCATGACCTGCCTCTGCATTGCTGTGATTGAAAACAGGACTGAATAGAGGAGGGAAAGAAAATGGGGTTCTTTTGAATGGCAAATAAAACCAATGGTTGAATGTCCAACAAAAAGAAAGCCTGGAAATGCATCCTGAATGTATCACACACTTTTAATTTTAGATGCCAGGTTTGTAGGGGCCTTAAAATACCTTATGTGCATAAGTTTCACATATACCAACTGGTGTCTGTAACTAAAAATGAAAAGTTCTTCTGGGATTACTCAGAGCAAAGCCTCACAGTTTCCCTGTGCCTGCATATAAGTTTCAATTTCAGAATTATAATGAAGGAGAAATGATGTAGTCTACGTACTCAGTTATTTTCAAACAAGTACTTTTTGTTTTTCCATATACATTCTGTGATTTAGTTAGTTTGAGTAGATTGAGCATTTTCATTGAGGTTAAATATTTTTTCCTCTTTCTGGATAACTAAAAGACGGTTGACTGATTTTACTGGACTTCAAGCAACAGAAATTATTGTTATCAACTAAGCATTTTTAGGTGTCATGCTTTCAGCCTGAAGATAGATAACTCTTATTGACTTTCCCCAGGGTATTGGAAAATATATTAATGGTTGAAAATAAGTACCCTGGCTAGAATTAGTCATTACCACACTTTAATGCATGGTGGTGATACTTTCTGGGCATTATAAATCCCATTAAATTGTCCTTTGGCAGTAGCTTTTAGAGGGATAAAAGTGAACAAGATTGTGAAATTTAAGACTCCTTCAGGAAGGAAATTTTTTACTTGATACAAGCTATCAGGTCTTTTCCATCTGTCCCATCTTTTTGCTGTAACAATACTTTTTTTGAGAGCCAAAGACATTCCCTCTTAGTGGACTTTCCAATTTTTCTTACGGTTCTCTGGGTCTGGAAATAGCATTTGGGAATCTTTGGGCTTGTTGCTGCTTGCCCACAGGAGAGGTGGAGAGACGCATGTGCTGGACGTGGTGCAGCCCAAACTCACTGGGTCAGAGAGCTTGCTTCACTCACCATTCTGTTCCTGTCTTGCATAGAAAAATTTTTAAGGTGCGTTGTGAAGACGAATCAGCTTTTGATTTTCTGAACCATTTTCTAATCTGTATAAGTTTTGGAACAAGACTGGATTTTGGTGTGGGACTAAGAGGCCAGTTATACTTTCCACCAGCATTTGCTACTTTGCTAGCAGCCAAGTCCTAAAAAGTCGTGCTCTGCTTGTTTATTTTTTGAGGTAATCAGCTTTGTTCCACTCTCTCATTTAAGAGGAACAATGGTTTTCGAGTGGTTATATTATGTTAAAAAGAAGGTAAAACAGTCTTGAAGATCCATGAGACATAGTGCATGCTTTTAACTGTTTAAATGGGTAATGGACTGTTATCTGACCCTAAAGCTCTAAAATGTCATGCAAATCACCATGCTCCTGTCTTATTAGACTTTAAATGGAAAATATGTTAATGTGGTTTACTATAGCACCTCTAGACGAATAATCTCATGGGCCATGTTTTGGGAAGTTCTGACCTAAAATAATACCAATTTTATACTTGTCAGTGATGAAGTATTCTCAGTTATGCACTAGATGGGGCTGCAGAATGGTTTCTATGTTTTACTCATTTTATCACAGAATCATAGAATAGTTAGGGTTGGAAAGGACCTTAAGATCATCAAGTTCCAACCCCCCTGCCATGGGCAGGGACACCTCACACTAAACCATACAACCCAAGGCTTCGTCCAACCTGGCCTTGAATACTGCCAGGGATCGAGCATTCACAACCTCCCTGGGCAACCCATTCCAGTGCCTCACCTCCCTAACAGGAAAGAATTTCCTCCTTATATCCAATCTAAACTTCCCCTGTTTAAGTTTAAACCAGTTACCCCTTGTCCTGTCACTACAGTCCCTAATGAAGAGTCCCTCTCTGGCATCGCTATAGGCCCCCTTCAGATACTGGAAAGGCTCCATGCAGCCTTCTCTTCTCCAGGCTGAACAGCCCCAACTTTCTCACTCTATCTTCCTACAGGAGGTGCTCCAGTCCCCTGATTATCCTCATGGCCCTCCTCTGGACTGCTTCCAACAGTTCCATGTCCTTTTTATGTTGAGGACACCAGAACTGCACACAGTACTCCACGTGAGGTCTCACAAGAGCAGAGTAGAGGGGCAGGATCACCTCCTTTGACCTGCTGGTCACACTCCTTTTGATGCAGCCCAGGATACGGTTGGCTTTCTGGGCTGTGAGCACACACTGAAGCTGGCTCATGTTCATTTTCTCATTGACGAACACCCCCAAGTCCTTCTCCACAGGGCTGCTCTGAATCTCTTCTCTGCCCAGCCTGTAGCTGTGCCTGGGATTGCTCTGACCCATGTGTAGGGCCTTGCACTTGTCATGGTTAAACTTCATGAGGTTGGCATCAGCCCACCTCACAAGCGTGTCAAGGTCCCTCTGGATGGCATTCCTTCCCTCCAGCGTATCAACCGAACCACACAGCTTGGTGTCATGGGCAAACTTGCTGAGGGCACACTCAGTCTTTATAGTTAGATGACTGACACGTCACAATCAAGAAGTTGTATAAGTAGCATTCTTGAGGGTATACTATTATTTATGGGTAAAATGCATGTGTGTATGAACAGGTTTTAATAGGTAACATTTTCATTGCAGGTTATATCTACAGTTAATAAAGTAAAAAAACAAAATAGCAAAAGGTTTATTTCCCCAAAAGGGAATGTCAGATGTTATTTCAAAACAGAAAATATGTATAATACATACAGCTTATTTTAAAGAAAATGATGATTGCTAAATAAAACTTCTGTCTAGATCTTGAGGTGAAGACCTATTTGGGAAAATATTTTTCTAGAATTGAATATTAATTTTTAACAATGAGCATTATTATCCATCTCTCTTGATCTGAATGTAATAAGTTGTATATATGAAACAGATCTGGGGGAGAAATTAACAGGACAGATGAAAGCAATCAATAAAAAAACGCTAAGTTGTCTTCCATACCTGAGTCTTCCACTGGGACGTGCTCTTGTGCCGTAACTTAAGGGTTGTTGGACTGCATGTATATTCCTTTCATACAGAGTGGTACGTGTACCAGGGGGTCATGCTGTTAGCTGCCCTCAGCTTTCCTTATTGCAGAGCTTCTTCCTGGGCTTTTATGTCATGTAGCTCTCTTCTTTAAGATGTAGTTAAACTGCCGATAACTCAGTGGAACTGCAGCTTGTTCTGTCCCTCTGCATGGCTCTTTTAAGGGTTCAGCTGGCACTCTCTGCTGCTTTTGGCTCCAGTTGAGCTTCCTGAGTTAGCTTCAGTTTCCAGTATAGGTAATAGATACGTTTTTCTTTCTGGATGTTCTGACATTACAAAAAGAATGGATAGCAAGTGTCATGACTTGTGTGAATGTTACAATCTTGCTTTATTAGTTGAGCATGTGTGTGTCTCCACTGTTTGGTAGAAGGTGGTGGTGCTCTGTTGAGGCCCAAGGGTAGGTAGGTTTGGAGGTGCAAAATTCTTCAGCTCCAGCTGGTGGTGATAATCTTTTTTTGGTCTAGCATGCATCCTCATAATTCATGGATCATTGTGTTTTATGAAGCATGTGAGTCAGGTGATCTGCCTTCTGTTTTGGAAGAAAGGAGATAAAAAGCTGTGGGGCATGTCAAATTGATTGTGAAAAGTCGGAGTGGTCTTTAGCATTCCAGCTGACATGTCTTGCGGTAGACCATTGTTGTTCTTCCAAACTAGATAATATATCCATGAAATAACACACATTAAAACATAATAGTTTTGTTTTAAACTGTGTGTGACTTCTACCGATGTCTGCTTTTTATTGCTAAATGGACTGTTAGAAGCTAAAAGGCTGTGTGAAATTAGTAGGTAAAGATAGACTGTATGACCTGCTTTTGCTGGAACAGGGATGTTGGGGTTTTTTCCTGAAGCCACCACAGTTACAGGAGTTCCTTACAGGCTCATCTGTAATGGCTGGGGTTTTCTTTTAAAGCAAATCAGAATGTTATGGATGTTTTATAGTGCTATTTTGCAGTTCTGTGGTGTGTAGCACTTGTTACTGCATGTTCCATGCTCACTGCCATTGCTGTAATGTCAGAGGATCTTCCAGGAGTGCATCTTTCATTGCAACATAAATTGGTCACTTGCTTCTTGAACCTTCAAGGCAAGAAGTGTGTGCAGTGGCATTTACTTTTCTGAATTTTATAAAAATGTATGTTCAAACTATGCTTGAAAAAGCAAAACAGAACAAATGCATTTAGAAGGTTTGTCCTGGTAAGTGTTTTTACACATCTACCTTATTATTTTAATACAGTATAATCTCTTAATAACATAGTGACTCATGAGCGTGTGTCTTGTTTGCAAATTTAACTCGTGAGACTTTTGAAATAATTTGTGGACTCTACTCCAAAACATTTCAGGAAGTAAGAGGATACCTTATCCATGTAAAATTCTTCCATGTAAAACTCCAACTTGAGGGGGATGGGGCAGAGAAGTGCTGCCCCTCTTGCTTGTTAGCTTCTCTTCAGGGTTAGTGTAAAGTGAAAGAAGGAGGACAAAGGAGCGTGAAGCACTCACCTTTTCTTTAATTTGTCTGGGGCAAAGCATTTCTAGGGGTCAGATGCTGAGTTTTAACAGTGCAAAATTATCACAGAAGTCCTCTTGCTTGCTTTTATTAGTGGCAACTTCAGTGATTTTGAGAGTAATTGCTGTGATACTATAAATACTAGTTACATACTTTATAGCTTTATATACTGTAGTAGGACAAAAGGTTTATTTTCTTGAAGTGAGTTTTATCCTTGGCTGCTGTCTGAGCCAGTACAGTGTCTGTTAAAGGTAGGTTTTATCTGCTAGAAGTTGATCTGTTCAGCATTAGAAAGAAATACTAGCAGAGCTCTTCCCTACATAAAGCTGCAAGATAATTGTAGTAGGTTGGCCAATATTTTTCATCATTAGCGCTTGACACTTTTCAGGTAAAAAGCTAGAGGAGTGCTTGTTGTGTGTGAGTCAATGCTTCTGAGACACCCATCCTGCATTTCTGTTATTGAGGTATACCCACACTCTATGGTGAATGTTAGACATTATGTAAAAAGACTTTTCAGATTTTTTAGAAATGATTGGTGTTACTGTGTATAGTCCAGATATGATGCTTTCCTTTGGTTTTCTTTTATGCACCAGAGGTTCAAAACTGCAATGTGGGAGTAGCCCAGGATTCAGTCTAGTCTCTTCTCTGTTGTGCTTCCCTTTACAGTCCTTAAAAGATGTTTCTGTTCAAGATCTGCAGACATACCATTTCGATCTGAGCCTTAAGATGTTAGTGCGCCCGCTGTTTTGCTTTCGACTTCCTTTTCTGTCATGCACAATACATTGCACCTTCTTAGGTATTACAGATTATCAACATGGTATTTTTTTTAAAATATACAGTACCACTGCTAATTAAAAGAACTTAATTAATATGAACTTCCATCATGCTAATACTTTCTAGGTAGATACTGATAATGATTATGTTACAGCAATCAGCGAGAGCAGACCCTCTGTTCAGGTATTTTGCCTTGTTGAGGAGAAAGGAAGGGAATACATACTACTCTCCAGCGTAATGGTTAACACATTGACTTCAGAGAGGGATTAAGTAGAAACTGTATCAGAATGAGTGTTTCAGTATTTTGTGCAATGATTATTGTATATGAAGTAAGCATCTTTATGCATGGATGCTCTCTGCTTTTTCTTCTTTTCTCATTATATATTTGAGAAGTGTTTGGAAAACAACATTCAGCAGGAGGGAGAGACTGTTTCTGTTTAGACTGCTGCTTGGTTATTTAAGCTTGGTTTCTTGATCAGTCCCTGGGGAATGAAGATCTTAGCTACATCAGCTTACTCAGACTGCAGTTTATTGGCCTTGGTGGGTTGTTGGAGTGAGTGAGGCACTGGGCTCGTGGCCACTGCAGAGACAGAAATGCTGATGGGATTCCCCAGAAGAGAGAGGGCACATAGCTGGGAATATTTAATGTCAGCTAGTGAAGCACCCTTAGGCTTAGGAAGTAGTGTAAGAGGGAGCTAGTGCACTGTAATATTGGATTTAACTAGCTAAAGAAGAAATAAGGTGGGACAGACTCCAAGAGAAATGAAGTCCATAAGGACAGATCTACATGGGGATTTCATGGTTAGATACGTTTCTGGCTAAGTAGAGGTAAATTATGTGTTTGCAGTGTAGTGAAATGCTGTTAAGACTAATGCTAGCTTTTTGGGTCAGTATGATGTTCCTTAGTCACTCTGACTACATAAGTACTATCTGCTTTTTTAAAAACACTGTTAATTGTTCAGACAACTCAGAAACAATCATTAAGCATCAATGCAGGCACAGAGATTGTGCATGTTTCATAGCAGAGTCTGGTGGCTTTTTTACTTTTCCAGTAGATCGGTCTTACTTTTTGCCTTCCCTAATAATCTTGAGTAATAATATGATATTTATAGTGGATACATTACATATTCTATACAGTATATGTTATATTGCACATAATTTATTATGCTGTGAAATAATATAACAATATAATAAAATTATATAGTTCTATTTATAATAATTTCATAATACTGAATGTTTAAACAGTTTTTCTCTCATTTGCTTTTATATCAATTATGTTTTTGCAGTGTGTCTTTTTGTTTTGTATTGCTAAGAGACCTTGATAGCCAGCGCTTGCTGCTGGTTTCATTTAAGCACAATGTAACAGAACCAGTGAGAGAAGTGAGAGCAATCTCTCCTTGCTTCAGACAGATACCAGCACATGTCAAGTATAGCTCAGCCTGCCTCTGTTAGTCTTCTGTGGTTCTTGTGGCATGCCACAGACAACACCAGTCATGCAAAATTTGATGACAGAAATTATGGGAAATTGTTGGTCCCTTGAGTAAGAGAATTTGATCAGTTCTTTTAGAGCACTTTGCTGTCTTGGATCACTGATCAGTTCCTTATTTTTTCAGGCAGTTTGGGGCCTAAAATGCTTTTTTTTTATTATTATTTTGGTGACAGTGTATCTCAGATCTACTTTGCTTATGTGCTGCTGGTTTATAATAATATGTTTACAGCTTCATTCAAGGCACTCAAAATAAGCTTTTGCATTTTTACTTGTTTACTGGCAGTGCATTGCAGTTATGCATGATTTTCTAATCTGTCTCCAGGTGCAACTTGGAGCATGAATCAAGGTCTCTAAGCTTTTGGTTTAAAGTTTCAGTCCTGCCATTGCAAAACCCTATTTTATTTTTTATGGAATTGCTGTTCTTGCAACAAGCCAACAGGCTTCTACCATGAATCTCTACATGTGATTTTTTTCATGTCCAGTGTTACAGCTTCTCAGTGAAGATCTACCACTGAATTAAAGGAATTGATCTTTTTATCTTCCAGTAAGGAGTTACCTTTTTGATCTTCCAGTAAAAAAAACCCTTATGCTTGCTTAAGTGTTAACAAGTCTGTATTAAATGAGTCAGGTTATTTTTGCAGTTTAAGTGTAAGTTGAAGGTGTAATAGGTTAATTGGGTTTTGTTAAGTCTTTTTTGGTATGTCTTGATTTCTAAGCATAATAGGATATCTGAAGAACTGTATTATCAGTCCCCTTTTTTCTCCCTTTCTCCAGGTGTGAGGCAGCTAGCCCACATATTCATCCTGTTGGATGGTGTAAAGAGCATAAAAGAACTCTCATCACCCCACCAGGTTTGTATCTTACTATACATCTGAAAGATTTAAGGTTATAGTCAGCTAACAGCATTAAAATTTACAATAAGCTTATTGTACCTCTCCTGAATTTTTCTTTCTGTAATTAAATATTGGTATTTGGGGAGTTTAAATTTTTTTTACAGGACACTATGTATTGAAATTAGAATTACAATAGATATTAGAAGTATGCACATGTGTTCTGCTTTAGTAGAGACATCTATCTATGAAAGATAACCCTTGAAATCTGAACAAGGTTGTATTTTTAGCTGAATGTATTCACTTATTTAAGACACGTTGTGAAAATGCTGATAAAACTAATTTCATGTGTATGAGATTGTTATATAAGAAAAACATCATGTGAACTAAAAATGCAAGATAACATGCATATGATGAGAAGATCGCCTTAGGTGATCAAGGAATCAAACTTGTAAGGACTCTTTGGAAGGAAGACACAATGAGAAAGACGATACAGAAGAATGACAGTGTATTCATTAGTATGAACTATAAGACTAGCACTGTTTTTCAGGGCTGTTGTGTGTAGCTGGATGATCTAAATGCCATGTTGCAGAAACTACCACTTGTGGTCTGAGAACTTGGAAAATTTTAATTGATTAAAACTAACTTTGACAGAAATTCTCATAGCCAGCAATCTTGAAAAGTCGTCAGCAATATGTCTGTCAGGAGGTTAATTGCAGCCTATTATTCAGTGAAATCACAGTATCACAGTATGTTAGAGATTGGAAGGGACCTCAAAAGATCATCTAGTCCAATCCCCCTGCCGGAGCAGGAACACCTAGATAAGGTTACACAGGAACGTGTCCAGGCGGGTTTTGAATGTCTCCAGAGAAGGAGACTCCACAACCTCCCTGGGCAGCCTGTTCCAGTGTTCTGTCACCCTCACTGAGAAGAAGTTTCTTCTCAAGTTTAAGTGGAACCTCTTGTGTTCCAGTTTGTACCCATTGCCCCTTGTCCTATCATTGTTTGCCACTGAGAAGAGCCTGGCTCCATCCTCGTGACACTCCCCCTTTATATATTTATATACACTAATAAGGTTACCCCTCAATCTCCTCTTCTCCAAACTATAGAGACCCAGCTCCCTCAGTCTCTCCTCATAAGGGAGATGCTCCACTCCCTTAATCATCTTAGTTGCCCTGCGCTGGACTCTCTCCAGCAGGTCCCTGTCCTTCTTAAACTGAGGGGCCCAGAACTGGACACAATATTCCAGATGAGGTCTCACCAGGGCAGAGTAGAGGGGAAGGAGGACCTCTCTCGACCTACTAACCACCCCCCTTCTAATACACCCCAGGATGCCATTGGCCTTCTTGGCCACAAGGGCACAGTGTCGGCTCATGGTCACCCTGTCGTCCACCAGGACCCCCAGGTCCCTCTCCCCTACACTGCTCTCTAACAGGTCGTTCCCCAACCTATACTGGAACCTGGGGTTGTTCCTGCCCAGATGCAGGACTCTACACTTTCCCTTGTTATATTTCATCAAGTTATTCCCCGCCCAACTCTCCAGCCTGTCCAGGTCCCTCTGGATGGCAGCACAGCCTTCTGGCGTGTCGGCCACCCCTCCCAGCTTAGTGTCATCAGCAAACTTGCTGATAGTACACTCAATTCCCTCATCTAAATCGTTGATGAATATATTAAATAATACTGGTCCCAGTACCGACCCTTGAGGCACTCCACTAGATACAGGCCTCCAACTAGACTCCGCCCCATAGACTACAACTCTCTGGCTTCTCTCCTTCAGCCAGTTCACAGTCCACCTCACTACCCGATCATCCAGACCACACTTCCTCAATTTAGCTGCGAGGATGCTGTGGGAGACTGTGTCAAACGCTTTGCTGAAGTCAAGGTAGACCACATCCACCACTCTGCCATCATCCATCCACCGTGTTATTTCATCATAAAAGGCTATGAGATTGGTCAAGCATGACTTCCCCTTGGTGAAGCCATGTTGACTGCCCCTCATAACCCTCTTATCCTTGATATGCCTTAAGATGGCACCAAGGATAAGGTGTTCCATCACTTTCCCAGGAATGGAGGTGAGGCTGACCGGTCTATAGTTACCCGGGTCCTCCTTCTTGCCCTTTTTGAAGACGGGAGTGACATTTGCTTTCCTCCAGTCCTCAGGCACCTCTCCTGTTTCCCAAAACTTGGTAAAGATGATGGAGAGTGGTCTGGCAATAACCTCCGCCAGTTCCCTCAGCACCCGCGGGTGCATCCCATCTGGACCCATGGATTTATGGATGTCCAGATTGCTTAACTGGTCTCTAACCCATTCCTCATCAACTTAGGCAAACCGCTCCCTTGACGTGTCTTCATCTGAGGTCTCAGAGGTACAGGGCTTTTCAGGACTGCCTCCAGCAGAGTAGACAGAGACAAAGAAGGCATTTAGTAACTCTGCCATCTCTGTATCTTCTGTCACCAGGGCACCCGCCCCGTTCATCAGCGGGCCTACATTGCCTCTGGTGTTAGTTTTATCTGCCATGTATTTGGAAAAGCTCTTTCTGCTGTCCTTGACCCCTCTCACCAGCTTTCATTCCAAGGAGGCCTTAGTCATCCTAGCAGCTTTCCTACATCCTCTAGCAGCAGCCTTATATTCCTCCCAAGTGGCCAGCCCTTCCTTCCATGACCTTCTATACTTCTATATTTCTATATAGTCTATGTACTCTATATTTACTCTATATATACTATATATTCTATATATTCTCTATATTCTATATACTTCTATACTTCTATACTTCCATGACCTTCTATACTTCTATACCCTTCTATACTAAGTCAGAATTGGTTTAGTTGTCCCCTGGATTATAAGTAATGATGTTTAAATTTGGAAGAGAAACTTCCAGTGCAGAGGAAAAGCGAAGGACACTCACTGCCTTGTCTTTAAGAGCAAAGCTGTCTTTGTGTTTCTTGCATAAATTGTTTGTAAACATGATGGTTTCTGAAAACAGCAACATCTTATTTGATGATGTCAGTAAATTGTTATAGTAAATGACTGGGCTATTTTAATTTTTTTTTCAATTTAGTTAAAATAAATTCACTAAAAGAATAACAAATAGTCAGGTGTGTTCCACTGTGGTAAGAAGTTATTACTGATTAGATTGTGTTACCAATAAATCATTGTTAACAAAAGACAGGATTAGGCTTATAATACTTGAATAAATTTCATGAATTAAGTGGACAAAATTTTTCCAGTCCATATTATTTATACTCTTATATCTAAAGCAACTGTGATTTTTTTCCGCTAGCTACTCAGTGTTGTTGATGAGAGGTTGGGGTTTTTAACCTACATGGTGAATATGTCAGAGACAATTTAGAATACCCTTTCTTGTAATTATTTTGTAAATGTGAAGCATAAATCAGAACAGTATTATGAAAGTGTTTGCATTCTGTAAATTATCCATCAATTTTGTTTTTTGCACTGCTCTGTTTAATTCTGCTCATATTTCTTCTGTGCCAGATTATCCACATGCTAAGCATTTTTCTTGGGAGAAGTATTTGGAAGAAACCAGTTCATTACCTGCACCTGCAAGGGCTTTTAAAGTGGTGAGAAAAAGCATACATTTTTCATGTTTTTAAGTGCCTGTAATTGATTAGTTTAAAATAAAATAAAAAAAAAAAATACGTATATGATGTTCCTATGTTTCCAAATGTAACCAGTTAGTTAGTTGCATAATAGCTGGTTTATTTTAATGCAAGTTTTCAGTTCACTGCTGGAAATCAAATAATTATTATAAATCACTATCACTTTATTTTAATCATTATAAATGGGATTAAATGCTTCAAAATATTACTAATGAATGTTATTTGCTATGAGGAAATTACTGCCTAGTTATTAGAAATAATGAGATAGCTATGGATTCATCATAACATACTTTGAGCATATGTGTTTCTATCCATACATCTTAAATGGTGCCATGAATGCAGAGAGATTGTTGGACGTCAGTCCGGTTGTCCATCTAGTCCACTGTCTCTGGCTGTAGCCAAGAGAGCTTCTGAATTTAATACCCTTGAGTGGACTTTTTCATCTGCAAGCTTGTGACTGGGGCACATGGGCAGCATCCATAGGCACTTCTTCATTTTAACTATGGTGTCTGTGGGCAACATTCTTTTCTTTTAGCTTTGTATTTCTAGTTTCTTCCAGTGACAATCACCTTTCTTGAGCTCCTAGGATTTCAGGGAGCAAAGTATACTGGTCAGTAATGCAGACAGAATTGCTGTTAAGAGCCAGCCCCTTGTCTTGCAGCGCACTCAAGCTGGTTTGCCTTCTCATCTTTACAGATTAATGTCACTAATTCTGAATAATGCTTTGCTAAGAGGTGTATTAACAAAAGCAGAATAAATGTAGTGCTTATAGCAGTTCCTGGGATCAGCAAATCACTAGAGTTTATTACTGACCTGCAGTTTATCACCTCAAAATGCATCTGGCTAATAGCATGTCTCAATCTTGCATTCTCAGCAAGAATACTCAGAGCAAGGATTAGGAAGGTATTTGGTTATATCTGAGAAGAAAAGCAGTGAAGGGCTGTGACCTTGACTATATCAAACTAAAAGCAAATGTTTCCTTTTCCTCTTTGACCACCTATGTTTTAATTTCTTCCCCCGGGTTCAGGGAGAGACCAGCCACCCTGCAGTGTTCAGCAGTGGGAATGCCCCACTAGTGACCCACAGGGTCCTTCAGGTAGCAAGATCTATCTGTCTGTGTCTGCTCTGGGAAGCTGAACAGGACATGCCACAGGCACGCAGCCATTGACAGCATTAAACCAGGAGAGCGCTAGTTGGCCTGGCTCATCACTGTTCCAGAAAGCATATAAGCAGAGAGCATCTGCAGATGGTATAGGTCCCAAAAGGTAGCTTAGACAAGGCTATCTGGCTTTGAGGATGGAGGGGAACAAGAGCATGACTGAAGGGGGGTTGTCTGTACTGTCGTTTGCTTTCACAGCTGGAGAAAATAACTTCCCTGCTTTCTATACTAATATTATGGTAAGCATATTATGAGTTGTTTTAAACAGTAAGAAATCATGCTGATTGTATTGGAGTTTTATTGAAGTCATCCTGAGACAGTCACAGTGTTTTATATTGTATTATGGAAATAAAGAGAGTTAAGCTGCTGCTGAGGAAAAAGCACCAATGTTCTAGGAGGTCTTAGAGGGACAGATATACTATTTTCCTAGAAATCTAAAATATAACTGTCTTGTTCATATGTTCCTTTAAAATGGCAGTAATGTTTTATTAGATTTCATAGCTAGGTGGCAAAGACAAAATTTAGTACTCCTAACAAAGATACTTTTTTTTGCCAAAATAGTATTATGAAACAGGTATTTGGTCCTGTTTGTTCTGAGTATTTACTCTCATACCATGTATTAGTTATGTTTTCAGTAGGAGACTGAAAAGGAAATTTTGATTCACAAAGTGAAAACGCATATTAAAAACCATGAATACGTTCCCTGTAGACAGTTTCATAGACATTTCAGGTTGCTGGTATGTAATAATTAATTCAGTACTGCTTTGAAACTGTTGGCCAAGATCTCTGAGAAAAAGTATTTTAGAGAATTTAGGAAAAAACCCAACTGATTCAGAATAAAAATCCCCACTTACTTCTTTGCATGGTTTGAATCCAGTCTGTTCCAGGAGAATCTGGAATCCCAAAGTAGTTACTTTATTTCTCTACTTTAATAACACTGGTTTGAATGATGCTTTTATGTTTGGATTTGTTCAAGGAGAAAGGCAGATTTAAGAAAATGAAGGAAGAAAGTTTTATATGGATTTTATATACTTTACAGTTGTGAGAGATTTTTGAGTTTTTTTTTCTGTTTCACATAATACCATTCTTCTTGCCTAGAAACCTTCTCACGGCTTTCAGAAAAACATGAAACTTGAAGTGGTTGACAAGAGAAATCCAGTATTTATCAGAGTAGCAACCATTGTAGATACTGATGACTATAGAATAAAAGTAAGTTTCTTTGTCTTACTGTAATATACTGCTTGAGTGACTGATGGGTACTCTGTGAAACTGTAATACCATAGTTGTAAAACTAAGCACAGGAAGAAATGAGTCACATTGCTGTGTCCTGATAAGCTTTTGCTTATCCTTTTCACTGATTTATATGTGCATAATTCCTTTGGAAAGGGGTTGTTTTGTTGTCCTTTTAGTTAAATTTGCTGACATAGGTAGTTAGAGAGCATAGTTGTATATATTGGGAAATTGCTTTGGGAATAGTTGATATAAGACAGTTGTCTATCAAGAAATTATATGATTTGACATCAAGTGTCAAAGGCCTGCTGTGATATTTCTATTAGGACCCATAAGATATTTGGCCTAGGTTAATTGAATCTGTCTCTATAAACTTCCAGGTAGGAGAGAGATGTAAGTGAAATACAAAAAAAATAACCCTGATCTCTTGTGCCTTGTCAGTGACTTTTACAATTCTGAATTTTATATTGATTATGGACTTTAGATTGGATTAATCTCAGATAATGTATTTTTAAGAAATGACAGTTTTACAGAAGTGTATGTTTGAATTCTTTTTCTTTTATTGTACAAAACCAGTTTACACTCAGAAACCCTTAACCGTTAAAAGGCCTAGAATATTCTGGATATCCAGTTAGATGGATATGAAGGATATTTTTGGTTGTGGTTTGAAAAGATTTATTAGACATACCTGGTATTTCAAGCAGGAAATGCACCTGACATTTCGTTTTGAATCGGAATTAACTGGTGGTAGGGAGCCATCAGAACTAGTACCTTCATGCCTACACATTTTCTATCTAAACTTCAGTTGTTAATGAAAAATAAAAGCCCCAAACAAACCAACCAACCAACAGAAAAAACCCCAACCAAACACCAAAACTTCTTCAGTCTTGTTTATTAAAATTACAGGATTTGTAGATTCTAGGGTGGAAATTTGACTGTAGCATATGTTGATAAAGCTCTATTTGTATGTATCTGTGTATATGTCCATCCATACATGTGCACATGAGAGATCTGAGCTAGTTACTAGTTCAAAGGTCAAGTAAAATTTGATGTTATTTAGTTTTCACTTGAAAAAAAAAAAGCATGTATAGCTCATATTGGTGGTTTTATGGGAAGGCACATGCTTCATTTTCTCTTCAGTTTCAAGTCCTTACTCTTTATAGTCTGATTGTAGTAAATCATTAGTGTGTGTTAGGATTTACTGTTCTGTTATTCTTAAGTCCTGTTCAGGAGTTGAAAAAATGTTTGGATTTTGCAGGTTTTTTGAGAGAGAAAAGAGGCAGAAACTCATGTTTAACTGAAATAATAACAGGATAGCTAAACTTGTCCTGCTTTATTCCTGGGCTTTGAGACTGATGATTCAAGACTTAGTAAACAGTCAATGACACCTCTTGCCTTTTCTTAGTGAGAGTATGCATGGGTCCATAATTCAATGTACATATATTTTCTGTGTAACTTTGATAGTTCTCTTAAAGTGACTTCTCTAATGGATGTGTAATTTTTAGAGATTACTTAGGGAAACTGGTTTTATAGAGAATTTTTCTAATCTTGTTCTCCTTTTGATTTTAGGTCCATTTTGATGGCTGGGATAGCATATATGATTATTGGACTGATGTAGATAGCCCTGACATCCATCCTGCAGGCTGGTGTACAAAAACTGGACACCCTCTTCAGCCCCCGCTTAGTAAGAGAAATCACATTATAATGTAATGATGTTAAAAGGCACATGCACTATGCTATCTTTTTCACTGCCAGTGCCATCCAAGAAAGAGGAACAGCTAGGATATGCAAAACAATGTAAATGTGACATTTAGTGCAAAAATCAACCATTGGTAGTTAATCACTTTTTAGTAGATTGCTTTATTGACCCTTACTGTAATGGAAATAACAGTGTTTCTCTGTATGCATAAGAACCACAGTCAAAACCTGAAGTAACGATACAGATCTCTTGAAGCCACTGGTAAGACTGCTCTGGCACTCAGTAGAGATGATTAGCTCTTAAAATCTTCTGTCCACAGCCCCTTGAAGGTTAGTGTGCTTTTATCTCAGAATAGTTCAGACTTCACTGAGAAGGCACTCCTTTCAAATGCTGTTGCAAATCCTTAAAACCAGCCAAATTCCTTTTTTTAATGCAGCTGAGCAAAGAGGGGTTAATGGTGCCCACACTGAAAATAAGTTAAACAGGACCATGGTGTCAATAATAATACTGTACGTACCAGCTTGCCCTTTCTGGGAATTTTGCTTTACTTGTAGGCGGTCTGTTATAAGTGAGACCGAAGGTTGCAGGGAGAAAGGACTTTTGTGGTATGCACCTGTCTATGCCACTGTGTTTCTGGATGGTGGTGGTGAAATCACTTTAGCCAACTTGTAGCAGATTGACTTTTAACTGAGTGCTCTTCTCTGGGATCATTTTATATTGTGACTCTGAGGTATGCAAGACTACTGAGTGTTCACAGCTGTAACTGAGATTAGAAAAAGCTGCACTTGGAAAATAAGAAATGCTGAGCAATGCTAAGTACTCTGAAAAAATGAAATGTAAAATAACTGGGATAAGGCACACACAGATTGTGTGAACATGATACCTGAAAGTCTCAGTACCTCAATTCAGCATCTGTAAAATGTCAAGCAGAAATATTTCCTATCAAGAGCGTGATCAGAGTATATTCATTAGTTTTCTGAGCACTCCAGTGGTACAGTGATGACTGCATGTTAGGAAGTTAATCATTCTGCCTTCAAAGCAGAGTTTGAATAGGGTGACTTGACTGCCAAAGCACGAAGTGAATAATGAGGAGAAGATAGAATGCTGCATATCTACTTCTTAATCTGAGATATGCATCTTACATACCGAATGAAGGAAAAGTCCAGTGGGAGAGTTGGTCTGTGGCCACATAAAAATCTTATCACATATGGCAAAAGAGCTGAATAAGATTGTGACATTTCTGTTACCTAAGATTGCAAAGAAAAAAGATTCTTAGCCTATGTGTCTTCATTTTCTTGGAGACATTAAAAGAAACAAAATACAGATGCCCATCACATAAAACGTGTCATCTCTAGGTGGTAGCATATGAGGCACTGTTCTCTCGTGCACTACACCATTTTAAAGCCTATAGAATTCTTTGGACTTCAGTGTAGTCACAGTGTTGTAACATTAGCATAGTTGGAAGATTTGTTAAAAAATGCTTTTGAACTGTCTTAGTTTTGTCCTAACATATTAATTCTCTATCACTGTTTATCCATCTGCGAGCAAGAATCTTATCTTTCATCTAGGAAAATTTATTAAATAGACCTTTTTATTTAGTACAGTAACTGTAAGGGGAGATACAAGTTCATACAGTTTGCAAGTAAAACCAGTACTAGAGAGACAGTGCACCTTTGCAGATCTGCAGCAGGCATTCTCTGTTTCATGTACGGAAGTCTGTGTCTCACTTGCTATGAAACTATGGGTTATATGTTGTGTTAGCTGGAATGTCAAGGCCTGTTTTGACAGCTGTGTACTTTAATGTTTCTGCAGGCAACATTGTTTCAGGTTGATGAAAATCAGATAAACACATAAATTCAGATAAGTAATAATGAGATTAATAAATCTCCTGATGGCTTGTTCTTTTTAGTAGTATTTTCAGCCTTTGTTTTCATGTCTTGTTCCCTGGAAAATTTGAGCTAAAAATGGAGGTCAGTACCCACTGCAAACAGATCCCTGTCTCTGAGAATAGTAGGATAACATTGTCAGTGCTCTTGCAAAACATCCAGGTTGCAGCTACATGTAGTTAATAGGAGGGAAACTTGAAGTCATGTAGTTCCTCCTCTCCTGTAGAGATGTACTCACACAGAATAAACTTTTTTCTCCAGTGGATTGTTTGAATGTCTATCATGTTTTTGCAGAATGCTTTTTAAAAGTACTTTAGAATTAGATATTGTTTACTTACTTATTCTTCATGTTTACTATGATAGTCTGGTATTCCTACGTATTTGTATAACTTTTAAAGATTAGATACTTTTTTTTAATCTCTCACGTGATTTCCCTTGACATGCAGCTCCCTTGGAATTGGTGGAAGCTTTAGAGCATGGAGGGTGTCCCACAACAGGATGTAAAGGAGTTGGACACATTAAAAGGGCAAGACATATTGGCCATCATAGGTATGTGCTGTGAAGCTGTAATTTTATTCTTTCAACTGAGTAATGTCTGCACATTTATTTTTTTTTAATTTCTTCACAAGAAAACAGATACAAGCTGGAAGAAAATAGGAAATATTGTAAACCTAAAGATACAGTGATTTCAGTTGCCATGGTGAGCATGCTGAAATAAACATTAGCAATCTGTAACTTCGTTTCACCAGTGTGTTCCAAGATCAGATTTGTTGAACATCATTGTCACAATTTGTAGTTAGTCTCTATTTTGTTCTGATGAGGATTCCTTGGCTTGCTGTTCAGATTACAAAATGTTATTAACAGATATGCATAAAGCAATAACTCTTGAATCTTTTGAAATATGAGGCCACTAATTTTAATATAGCTTGGATGTCTTTGTTCTGCTTGGTTGGTAGATGTAGGCATTTGTTTGTTCATGGAAGGGTGCTAAAAAGGAAGTTCAGGTTGACATATTCCCAAGTGACAGCCTGAACAATTTACTGTTTGCACATAGTGTTTCTAAGGATGCTTTTGTTATAAACCTTTGAAAATATAATACAGAAATGTGGATATCCCAAGTTGTCCTAGAGGAGAGTTGACACAGAGAGAGCAGTAGCATGGGAGAATGGAGTGGGGGACAGAGAGACAACGTCAGAGAAAATGGGAAACATTTGCTGAGTCAGAATTTTATTATTTGAAAAATATTTGCAGTATGAGGTGAATCCTGAATTTCAGTAAGGGATATACAGTTAAAGTCACATGTTAAGTTGAGAATCAGTTACCAGAAATGTCATCCTATTACCTTTTCGCAAATTAGGGCTTCCAGAAGTTTTCTCAGTTTTTTTGCATTACACAGTCATACAATTCTTCAATGTCTCATCACTTAGTGCTTTCTGCTTTTATATATGGTTAGGTAATTGCTCTTCGGCCGTTTGTCTATTCATGGTTTTTAAGTATATTATTAAACTGCCATGATCCAAGAGTTAGCTCTGCAATCTCTTCATGTTCTTGATGAGAGAATTATGTCCTGTGGACTTGAATTATGCTATGAGGTTTTGATGGTGTATCAGCACTGGTTGAAGTCCTGACTCATCCCTAACAAAGATACCTGCCAGCAAAACTGACTGTGTTGTTACATGTTTAGTGTAAAAAAGGCATCTTTTGCAGAAGGGTTTTTCATGTCTACAGCAGAGGCATTGTCCTTGTGCTGTTAGGAGGCAGAACTCCTGATGCTAGTACAAGCTTTATCTCCAGGAAGGTATGTGTGTAGGTTAGCACCAGTGACAAAACTTGTTGCAGCATGAACTGTGGTGGATTGTCATGGCACAGTACGCTGCATTGCTGTCTTTCAGATTATTTTAATGCTTTTCCTTTTGTCTTTTTCTGACTATGTTCTTTTTACTTTGGTTTATTTTTTGCAGTTTTTCCACCTTCCCTTTTGAGAAGGTTTGTTGCACTCAGTCAGTAGGATAACTCCTTAAACAGTCAAGCTAGTACTTAAGACATTACCACTGAATCAGAATCATTGACTGGTTAGGGTAGAAAGGGACCTTAAAGATCGTCTAGTTTCAACCCCGTCATGTGCAGGGACACTTTCTGTTAGACCAGGTTGCTCAAGGCCTTGTCCACTTGGCCTTGAACACTTCCATCCTTCAGTTAGCATATGGTAACCTATTGCATTCATTTTCTTACTCCACTGAAAATATGAAGAAAACTAGACTTTCCTAAAATGCTTCCTGGCTGCTTAGCTGAAATCCCTTTTGTTTCATATTCCAGTAGACTAAGTCTTACCTGATTTGTTAACGCACCTGATCTGTAAGACAATAAATTCCAATTCCTTACTGTGTACTCTCAGTTACTTAGAATCAGGTGAAAATACCAATTCTTAGTCCAAGGTTGAAACTTAAAAAAAAAAAATAATCCAGTGTGTCAGAAAATATGATAATTTAAAATGTTAAGTAGTTCTGAAATAATTTTGAGAGCTTGTTCCTTAGGAAACAGGTGAAAGCCTTTGTGATTATGTAGGGGTTAAAGCATTTACTTTTTAAAAAAATTGATATTAATAAGGACTTGGTATCTATCTCCAGTTGATCTAGAGTTTTATGCTGCACAGTTGAAACTGAGACTGATATGCAGGTTGGTAGCATTATGCATATCATTGTGAATTTTATGTTCTCTGATGTTTAATGTATGCGATAATTCTCAAATTCAAGCAATAATGCAAAGTGGTAAATTGTAAACAAGCCATTAGTGTTTTGGGTAAGCTGTTCATGAATGAAGATTTTAACCAGAAACATGACATGTGTTATATGTAAGTTGAGATGAACTGAATGTCATGGTGGCAAATGTGTTGTAAAAGAGCAATGGAAAAATGTAGGAAACCTCACCTCAGCAGGATGTCGTATCTGTTCATTCAGTGACTGTTGAAATCACTCTTGTCTGGCTTTGATGCCAGTCTCAAATTTCATTTTATTTTTATGTAAAGTCATTTGGCCACAACAAAATCTCTTACAAGCTACTGTTGAGTCAACTTTAGACTGTTGAATGAAACAGCTTTCATCTGAAAAAGAATGCTTTGATGAAGTTGTAAATTGTGAAAGAGAACATTTGTATCACTTATTTCCAGACTAGTTTAAAATATTTTCATAAAGTCAACTGAAGTGATCACTTGACAAAAATCCAACAGGAAAGAAAAAGTACGTCCCCCAGATGTTGTCAGGACCTTTTTTGTCAGAGGTTTCTTGCTAATCACTTATCACTACTACCGAATACAGTCATTTCAACATACACTGCTCTAGATAAAGTCTAATTCATTAATTATAGAATCATAGAATCATAGAATAGTTAGGGTTGGAAAGGACCTTAAGATCATTAAGTTCCAACCCCCCTGCCATGGGCAGGGACACCTCACACTAAACCATATCACCCAAGGCTCTGTGCAACCTGGCCTTGAACACTGCCAGGGATGGAGCATTCACCACCTCCCTGGGCAACCCATTCCAATGCCTCACCACCCTAACAGGAAAGAATTTCCTCCTTATATCCAATCTAAACTTCCCCTGTTTAAGTTTTAACCCATTACCCCTTGTCCTGTCACTACAGTCCCTAATGAAGAGTCCCTCCCTAGCATCCCTATAGGCCCCCTTCAGATACTGGAAGGCTGCTATGAGGTCCCCACGCAGACTTTTCTTCTCCAGGCTGAACAGCCCCAACTTTTTCAGCCTGTCTTCATACAGGAGGTGCTCCAGTCCCCTGATCATCCTCGTGGCCCTCCTCTAGACTTGTTCCAACAGTTCCATGTCCTTTTTATGTTGAGGACACCAGAACTGCACACAATACTCCAAGTGAGGTCTCACAAGAGCAGAGTAGAGGGGCAGGTTCACCTCCTTCGACCTGCTGGTCATGCTTCTTTTGATGCAGCCCAGGACATGGTTGGCTTTCTGTACTGTGAGCGCACACTGAAGCCGGCTCATGTTCATTTTCTCATTGACCAGCACCCCCAGGTCCTTCTCCACAGGGCTGCTCTGAATCTCTTCTCTGCCCAGCCTGTAGCTGTGCCTGGAATTGCTCCGACCCAGGTGTAGGACCTTGCAGTTGTCATGGTTAAACTTCATGAGGTTGGCATCAGCCCACCTCACAAGCGTGTCAAGGTCCCTGTCCATGGCTTCACACAGGCTGCAAAATATTACAAGCAGTCATAAAGACTACAAATGTATATAAAAAAAAATACTTTCATATTAACATCCTTTTATCAAAGAAATTGCCACCTCACTGTTCTTCTTCAGGTTATGAGAATCCTGGCTAATATTCCCTTTTGATGTTAGGTGTACCTGAGGCTAAGTAATCCAGTTGGACTCTGTGCTTCAGAAACTTTGCATACTGCTAGAAAATAGGAGCATTTACAGATGTCTGTAGAAGACTAAGGTCCATGCCTATCCATCAGCAGCCCAATTTTATCCTACAAGCCTTGAAATTTAGTGAAAAAAAAGGTCTGTGTGTAACCCTACCTAGACATAGATTTTGAGAGTAATGGAAGAGCAGTTGTAAAATAACCACAAACGTGGTATGCTACCTCAGTGCTTAGGTTCTGGAAAGGGATGATTACATAAAACCTCTGTTGCCTGGAAAAACCCAGACCTGGGATCCTGAGGATTCTTCGAATGGTATCATGATTTGATAAAAACAAAAGCTTATTTTAATGCTCAGTTTGTACCCAGCCTACGTGGGACTCTGGAAACAGTGGCTCCCTTTCATCAGAAAACTGTTATGGACATGTGTGTTTCCAGACACTCTAATGCCATTTCAGTAGGATGCAAAGTGTATTGAAGGGAGCTAATTGCTGTGCAGTCTTGATCTTTCACCATTTTGAAATGGCTGATTACTCTCCTGTGCAGGGGGGTCAGGTGGTATTAATGTGGATGTTTTGTTTACTGAAGCCTACTGAAGCAGCTCAGATGATAATTGATATCATCGTATTAGACTGGTTTCAAAGCCATGGAGCAGTGATGGGGGTGTACAGCAGAGGTTTCAAATTGAGTACCTGCTGCTGTTTCTGCTGCTTGCTATTCTCCCTGTGCCTCTGGCATACCTTGGTACTGCCAAGTCAAGGACATATGATCATTTTGGAAACTGCCTTCTGAACTTTTGCTGTTTTGCAGATAGTTTGCTAAGGCAAAATATAAGCAGAAATGCAGGTTTAAGTTGACACAAGAGGTAAAAATCCTAATTCAGTGTTAATTAACCTGAGCCTTGAGATAAGTCCTTAAAACTTACAGTCCTATATAAATCAAATACTTATGTTGTGTAGGAATAACAAGATTAATCTTATATTCTTTGTAGTAGAGAAGTTAAACTGAACTGAAGGCTGAAGGCAGTGAGATTCGGGAAGATTTATTGATTGATCCAAAGCCATGTAACTCATACACAGGCTCATTCATGCTGTGCTTTGCTGAAACAAAGCCAGCAGTGGAAACCATGAGGGTTCTTTCTTTAAAAAAATAAAATAAATAATCATACAACAACTCAAAGAATTAATCAGAAGGAAAGCCTCCTCAGAATCTAGTGTTCCAAAGCAATATTATAACTATTATTGACTGAAACCGTCATTCAGTTTCTGATTTTCCAGAAAATACAAAAGGAAAAGACAGTGTACAAACAGGCAAGTTCTACTAATGAAGAACTGAATTTTGAGGCATCTTTTTTTAGTTTTTTAAATTTAAAACATGTTAGAGGTGTTTGTGAACAGAAGACCTGCTGGAGACAAAATTGCATTGTTAGATTTCATTGTGGTGTATGGCTTGTTTAATACTATGCAACTAAAGTTAAATAGCACAGTGGTAGTGGTTAGTGTTTCTTTGAGACAACCCTCTAACTGCTTAAAAACACTAAGCCTCAAAATACCCCTCTAAATGTAGGAAGCCAAAAGAAGATTACATGTTTTGCCTCATAGCAGTGGCAGAACTGAGATTAACCAATATATTCCTGAGTTTCTGATAACTGTATTTCATCACAGTGGTATGAGTTTGACACAGCAAGAATTTGCTACTAGCTTTGGCTCCTTAAAACCTTTTTCTGAATAGAAGCCTGTATCTTTCATCTTGTAGTTCATTTGAAAGGGAAAATTTGATAGATGCAGCAGTAAGAATTGAAAACATAAAACAATTTCCCTTCTTTCCTGCTGTTCCTGTTTTCTTCCCCATATTTCTGTTAATGGGCTCTTTTTGGTCTTTTAAGACGTCTGGCAGAGTCTAGCCTTATGACAGACAAAGCCAGTAGGTTGAAAAATAAATGCAAGTAGAAGCATATAAATAAAATGAAATGTCAAATGCTGCTTAAGAGAAATTAGAAGTAAAAGGTAATGCCCAGAGGTGGTTTTGTTGTTTTTTTTTATTACTATTTGTATATTCTGTTCCATGTCTTTAAAACAATTTCATTAACAAAAGAGTACCCAATGTAAAGTGCAGTGCTTTGTTGTTCAGCTACCCATTTGGCTATATCTTATTTGGCTGTGTAACTCCTGGTATGAAGGTTCTTATGGCAAAAAACTTCAGTGCCTTTATATCAGAGGAGGTGCTGGGGACTAACACCTGTAGTAGCCTTAAGGAATTTTTTCCTTTTATGCTAGTAGTGAGAGAAATGTAAATTTCCACCAACATTTTTATGGTGGTTAGACAAAAATTAGACCACCAGTATTGGTTCAACCTTGTGATAGGAGTTGATTCATACTCTGAATCCCAAGCTTTATCAGTAAAGGAAACTGAGAATGTGCAGCGTATTTTTATAGGGCTTTTTTTTTTTTTTTTTAGATGCTGTGCTTTATAAAACATGATTATAAAAGCTGTTGGTTTTCTATTTGTTTTTTGTAAATTGGAGCTGGCAGGGCATACGGCTGGCTAGGTAGACTTGTTTGTATTAGTTCTGTTTGGAAATCATGCATGTAACAATCAGTGAAACAAATAAAACATGGCTGTTTGTGGAAAGGCAAGTAGTTACATTCTTAAGTAGAAAATAAGCAATATCTTAGGACATGCTTTTGTTGTTTGTTTTCTTTTTTTGGTTGTTTTTTGTTTTACCATTGTAATAATACAGGTAAGTAGGAAAGCATGATATTAGATTATAGCTGGTGTCATACCTCATGAGCCTAGTACTAAACAGAGCATCATGTTTAGTACAGCCTCTCCTGTATCTTAAACAGAGATCTGAAAACTTGAGCATGCCGGTATTCAGTGTTGTGGCACATATACTCCTTTCAGAGTTTAAGCTATTATCTTTGAATGGAGAGTAGATAGCCCAGAGAGTAGATCAGTGCTCCATTCTCCTAAAGAAAAGATCCTAGTTTAGCCCGTGTGTTTTGTTTTTCTGTTCTTCCCTTTCCTACCTTTTGTGCAAATTCAGGTTTTCTGACTTTAGGAGGTACACCACATTTACAAGTCATTACATCAATGCACAGTGTCAAATTTTCTCTTTCCCTAGCTGGAGTGCAGTGAAATAGGGAGTGCTGGATGATAGGAAAGATTGTTAAAATAATAGTGTCTTTTAATGGAATATCACCAAATGGCATTTGCAAAGATGGAGCATTCACTGCAGTAAGAGGATGTGCACCATTCCTCATGCTGTGCCCTTGCAGTACAGCTTCTTTGTGGACATACAGAATAGAATTACCTTCCTTCAGAGCAAAAGTAACCATGGGAGTATGACTTTATTTAGAGAGAGGTGGGTATAGTCAAAGGCAACTTGTATTTTATGTATATAATGCTATTAAAGGTATGAAAAGTCAGGCTAAACATTCATCACTTTTCCAGATTGTATGCTGTAATATAAATTAATACATTTTGACTTATAAGCTGCTGTTGAAAGGAAACATGAAAAACTTTCAGGTTGAGGATTATTAACATTTTAAAGTATGACTACTTACTGCTTCTTTTTTCCCCCTCATCTTCTTTATATTAACTGATTGCAACTGCTTCTAGAAAACTGATGTTATTTCATTTGAACTGAATGAACTGACATTAAGGAGGTGTTTCTCTTCTTAAACTTCTAGTGCAGTCAGCTGCCCATATTCAGAGATGAACTTGAACAAAGAAAGCCTCTTACCTGATCGGTTGAGTGGGGAGATGCCTGCAGCCAGTCCTGTCCCCAGAAACAGAAAAGTGGAAGCAAGTGAAAGATCCACTTCTCCTGTAATCAAGTAATTACCACTGAAGCGATGTCTGTGACTAACACAGTACTTTATTTCAGTGTTCTTTAATGTAATTTGTGGTTCTGTAATGGCTGAATGGTTTCAGAAAGGCCTGCTTATTTATCTGCATACGGTTTCCTCAGTGCTTATCAAAAAGGTCACCAAGCTGTCAAAGACTGGCACTGATTTTACTGTGTATGATTTAACAAGTATTCGGTTTCATCCTCAGTATAACTATCTGGACTACTAAGTGGTTGATTGGAATTTAAAATGGAGTGTTTGCCAGTTGGTTTCACTTAAGAAAATTATTTGTTAGAATTTATTTTGCTTGCTGGGGTGGAGTTATTGACATGACTGTAAAATAATGTTGCGCTTTGAAGAATAGCCACTTATAAATTCTGTCATTATTGTGGGAGTGGGGAATCAAATTACTGGGAGTGAGTTTTGCAAGAACAATGTTAAATTCTGTAGCTGAAGCTTTTAGGAAGAGCACTGGGGAAAAAAAAAAAAGTATGTGATATCAAGATAATGATTTTCGGATTATTATTTTCTATCAGAAATCATGTACACTGACTCCTGTGCTTATTTTGGGCTGTGGGGATGCATAGTGAATTTAAGAAGAAAAGGAAAAGAAAAGAGTCTCTCCATTTTTTTCAAGTGCTACGTTAATGTAAATGTGAAAATGTGATTTCCAGTTCCCATTGGAATGACCACGTATTTTCAATAGATGGTAATTTAAATTACATTCTTGGACACAGGTTCAGCTTCATGCTTTAAAAAACAAAATATTCATCTGTCACAGTGCTGCCTGGTTTGATCTTACAAATGTAGGGTTGTAGAAATCTGAAGTGACTTGATTGCCCTCTGGCAGGTAGCCCAGGTACCATCCCAGTGAAGCCAGTAACAGTGAGAAGTGGTATGTGTGGCAGGGACTGTGTCAAGTCCTATTTTTTTCATTGCCGCAAGTAAGAGACTACATGTCTCTTCCATTTTTGTATATCATGGAAGGGAGAAAATGGATAGATGAAAACGGTACTTTGGAGTCGTCTTGTGTTACAGATATTTGAAGTGGATAGCTTATTATCAAAAATAACATGAGGCAAATTCTGTTCCTGTTGAATTGCCTACATGTATTACCTTTGATTTCATGGAGAAGAGAGTTCTGTATTGTGATTTCTGTTGGTGGCAGATGAAAAACTTCTGTGTATTTCTTAAATGAACGAAACACTTTTATGTCAATTACATGAATGGTACTTTACCCATAGAGAAAATAAGGTGAACAACAACTCAACTGCTGGAGTTTTAAGCATTTTGTTAATTTGTTTTAAACAGTGACAGAAAATGCCCCAGCCCTGGTCACATAGGTATGAAATCTTCACCTCACAACCGATCATCTGGAAAAACCATGCCAGAAACAACTAAGCAGGAAGAAGCAGAAAGTAAATCTCCTTGCAAGAAGTCCCTACTATGTGATGTGAAAGAAAAGAAGGCACCTGGGTAACTGTTGGTTCCTTTCAAAGTATGGGTTGTTTTGAGTCAGTTTGAAATGCAACTTACAAGTCAGTGCAGTACAGTGATTTGTCTGTGGGACTCTTGGAAGCAGTGGGAAAGGATCTGTATGTTCTTCAGCTGTCTTTATATTAGAAGTAGGGGGTAAGGGAGTGTCACAATGTATTCAAGAAATAAGAAATGTGTATCAGAGAGAGAAAGAATACTGCAAGACAGAAAAAGTATTGGAAGTTGAGATCCTTCTTCCTTACCTTTCTAGAAATGTTATTGTATATGTACAAATATGTACATATATTTAAAAATGAAAAGTAATTCCTTAACTCTCAGGATTTGGAGTATCTTTTTGACAGAAAATGACATGAGATAGTTTCCAAGCTTGCACTGAAAAATAATATTTATGGTATAAGAAGACTATCTCTGAAACTGGAAAGATGCAATTCAGTGTTTTCATGGGGATATATGAGGCATTAGGATTCTCTATGTTTTTAATTAGTTGCAGTAGCAGTGTATTACTTTATTGGCTTTTTTTATACAGAAATAGAAGACACTGGATCAAGAAGTGTCATTTGTTACATATTTATGTTGGCCACATTATCATGCATTCATAATAAATGAACTGTAATTTTTAGCAGTAGTAGTGTCTTGAGAAGCTTCAGAGAGTTCATATTGAAAGTTCAATTGAAAAAGATCTAATAGGAACATCAAGCAGTGTTGATATAATTTCCATAAGTCAAATAAACAGCATTCACTAGTCATCTTCAAGTGAATTTAAACAGCGGAAAGACAGTTTCATGTGCAGTTTTGAAAACCTATATTAAATAGCAGTTGTTGTTCATCACTTTAAGCGGTTGCAGTAAATTAACAGTTGTAGCAAATTCACCTTTTTTTAGAAATAAACATTGACTTCACAGACTATCTCTTAAAATTAATTGAAAAACAATTCTTTTTTTATTTTATTTTTTTAGGGTAGCATCATTATGAAGACCTAAAATAAGCAGTATCTGTGCTGTCTGTTCACTGTATTGAGTCATTTACTGTATTGAGTCATTTACATTAAGAGAATAGCAACCTTGTGCCAACTTTGAACTCCCCAGAGGCTTTGCAGTCGCTATTTGAGCTGTTTGAATACACTGATGACTACTCATTTTATCATCTAGCTTTCCACATTCCTTATGTATCCAGCATAGTCAGAAAGGACTTCCAGTTGAATAAACTTCCTTTGAAAAAGGCATGAAAAATAGTGTTCACAAACTTAGGTATATGTGAACCGCTAAAGTTCACATACACAAATATTTAACATCTAGTTATTGCAGTACTCTGGATCTTTTTAGATGTATATGCAAAATGGACATGCATCATAGAAGACATAGATACTTGTGTGCTCTTTAGCTGCTGAGTTTGTAGTGTGGATTTAATTATGTTTGACTTCATTACAGTTGTGTATACCTTCATATTCCAGGTAATCTTTTATTTCTTACAAGTCCTTGTTTGAGGAACAAACTACTTATGAACCCAACCATGAGATTTACTTTTTTGAGTTAACATCTAAGTGGTACTCAGCTAATCTCCCGTTTCAGTTTACTCCTTGTCTCTCTTGTCTTTCTTTTTTTTTTTTTTAATTTTTAACAGGTCAGAGGTATCTGTACATACAAGCAGTTATACTAGAAATTTTTGGTTTACAAAAATACATGTGTAAAAGCTGCAGTTTGTCCCTCTGGCATGTTCCTGAGATTAAAATTCAAGATAAAAATCACGTGCCTGCAGCATATTCAATTTTAATTCAAAAGTATCTTTATTGTATATTCAGAGTAGGAAAAGAATTTCACTGTTATAATGTTTCCACTGTGGAAATGCTTACAATGAAGGAAGGTGAGCACTTAGGCTTGAGAATCAAATGGTACTACCCCTTAAAAGAAAATTCCATTTATCTTCCAACCTCTTCCCTAGAACCTTCAGCTCATGACACTGTGCTGTATTTAGTGAGATAAAATTTCTGATTATATGTTGCTGTGAAAATTGTCCTAAAGAAAATTGGAAGATACATGTTTCCTCACAGGTTTTGGTGATATCTCTTCTTTATGTTGAATTAACAGTAATCATTTAGAATTTGGAATGAATTACACTACTTTGTATCATCTTACTTTAAAAGTTTTCTGTGTCTGTGGAGTTTAGGGAAATAATTTCAGAGTAAATAAATCAGGTGATACTTGTGAGGAAGTGACAGTGGACAAGTCCTTTGTGGCACAAGAAGGCATGCCACTGTATGCATTCCACTGGCATTGCTTGTCACACCTTTATTATTTGTATCCTACCATACTACAAAGGCTGTATTTTTCCATTTGTTGTGTTCATTTTGCACCATTAATAGTGTGTTAAATAGATTTTTGTTGATGTTGGTGAACTTGCTGATTTATTCCCAAATATTTACTTATATTTAATAGTATAAATAGTATTTAATAGTATAGATGTAAGCAATTGGATTAAAAAGGCCTGTTTCTTCTCTGGATTTGTATTTTGAGGGTTGCTAATCTTGATGTCTAGCAAAGTGTTAGCTCTAGTTTGGCTTTTTATCTGCGTTTGGGACGTGTGTGAAGAGGTTTTTGTTGAGTGCTTCTCTGGTAGATAGTAAAGCATGGGTTCATGTAGTGGGCTTTCTTGCAGTCTAGACTTCAAGGTCATTCTGTCTGGTGCCTGTTTTTAGACAAGGTTCATTATGCAGTTAGTATCTCTGAGAGCTTTGGATCTGTGATGGTTTAGTAAGAATTGTCCAAAGTGTCCAAGTTCTTCAGAGCAGAAGGAAATACACACATAATGTCAGCAAGTTCATGTAAGCTTCATTTTTGTAAGAAACAATGCTGGAAATAACTTCTGAAGGCAGAATTTGAAAAGGAACTTCCCAGGAACTGACTTTAAGATGCAAATACACCCATGCCCCCTTGAGAAGTTCTCTTATTTCCAGCTCTCTTGCCTTATTTTTCTCAGTAGGGGAAAGGCATTCCCTCTTTGCAAATGCTTAGGCTGGCAAAGCTGAGGGAGCAGCCACAGGCACCAGGGGTAAGAGCAACTGTTTTAGCTGGGTAAGAAGTAATGCCAAACCAGTAACGAATACAGATAATTTCAGTGGTATCATTAGCAGCTACAAAACAGTGTCAGTATAGTACAGGAGTTGGGGTAGGGTGGAGGTGAAGGTTGGGCAGAGAAAAAGAGTAAATGTTGTTTCAGATATCTCCTGAAAATGGCCCGGATAGCCAGTAAGGCTTTGTAGGAGATGGATCTATATATATGTACTCTTCACTCTCCTCATCTTCTGCTATGGACACATCCACTGCCTTTATTTGTATATTTTCCAGTTTCAGTTATGAAGTTGTGTGTTGCTATGATTTACATAATCTTAATCTATATTGTTCTCAAGCCTTCACTGCAAAATTCATGTCAGTAGTCATGCCAGAAATTAGATCCTCTCTTTTTTTTTTTTACTTAATGATGATAAAACATTCTTTGTGTGGGAATCCTGTTGTGTACATGGCATTATTAGCAAGAGATGTCATCGTGATTAGTGATTTTTATGATGTATTAATAAAAAATGACCCTTATATTTTTGTCAGTGGAGTACTACAAATGAAGGACTCCATAAAGAACAAAGAGTGTGAAGAAGAGGAGACAGAAAATAAGCTGCTCATTTCAAATGAAATTAAAGGTAAATTGGCAGTATTTCATTTGTTTCATATTAAAATTTTCAGAACTAAAGAAGTGTGATTTCTTGAAATTCTTTATAAAACTGTATTGCAACTTATTTTCCACATTCACTATTTGTGTCCAAAATCTCTTGACAGCAACACTTCTAGTGCTATGTTTCTTTATCTTGTAATCATTAAAGGCTTTGCCAAGAGTTTTATCACATTTGTAAAGATAAGTGCAAAATAAATACTGATATAGAAAGTTTAGTTTCAAGAATAGCTTTCCACTGATTTAAAAATAGGTAATTAAACTAGTATGAGTAAAGGTGTAATGTTCACTTACTGCTTCAAATGTGTACTGAAAGTTAAAGCATTTATACATTAAAGGCATAATGCAAAATTAAGGTGACTTACTCAACCCAGCATCAGCCTGTTGTGCAGTCTGATATTTTTTAGCATCCCATATGCAGAATGAGCCCTTTCTTTTTAATGTGTTACAGAGGGATGGCTAAGATTTTTATTTCACTGAAAAACTGGAGAAAGTCCAGTGGAGGGCTGCCAGGATAATTAGGTCATTGAAGGACTTGACATATGAAGAAAGGCTGAAGGAGTTTGGGAAGGGAAGGCTTGGATGAATCTAGTCACAGTCCTCCAGTGTCTAAAAAGTAGTTATAGAGAAAGATGGGAGGTACCCTCTCCTCTAGGACTCACAGTGGTGGGAAAAAGGAAATGGACACAAGTTTCATCAGGGAAAATTCTGTCTGAATCTAAGGAAGAATCATCTCAACATGAGAACAATTGGAATAGGCTGCTGAGAAAAGAGAGTCACTCTTGCTGGAAATATTTAGGACTTTACTCGGCAGGGCCCTGGGTAACTTAGTCTAATGCCCCGCTGTTAACAGAAGGTTGCATTGTATGGTCTCCAAAGGTCCCTTCCAACATGGACTTTTCTTTGGTTTAGTGATTCTGCCTGATTTTGTGGACTGCTGTGTTCAAATATTGGCTGTTCAGTGATGCAGTTGGACAGATTGAGGTAGCGGTTCATATTCATTTCTATCCTCATTGCTTAGACAGAATACAGCACAAATCCAGAGCATCTCAGTCATACCTGTCTTAACAGTTAGCACAGTCTTAAGAGTTACTTTGCATGCGTGAAACTTAGTATGTCAGACTAGTTATTGGACTGAGTCAGTGCGTTTTTTCAGTGCAGCTTTTCCTGCAGTAATTTTATTAACTCATGCAAGTTCAGTGAGAAGCTACATTTGTTAATTTCATCATTAATTCCTTAAATGTTTAGATTGTTTTCATCAGTAATTTGTTGTGCAACATAAAATTTGTAAGTCTTTTGTGAAGAATCTGCAGATTTGAGTAACACTGATTCTTTAAGGGCTGCATTTCTTACCTTTTAAGTGAGCTCAGTCTTGTGAAGTGTAGGAAATTCTTTAAGGCTAGTAGAGCTTTGCATAAAGATGAAATTAAGGTAGCATTTTATTTTTAATTATTTAACTCTGATACATTATGTATCTTAAATCATCATTTGTCTGTGAGTACTTTTCAGATACATCTAAGGCACTTTGAAGAGTATGTGAAGTATGAAAGAGTCTGTCTATTACAAGAGCTGTGCAAAAGGTGTAAAAAATCCAAGTTTTTACAGTATTCTGAAATGTGATGTAGTTCAGAATTCTGGAGAAAATGAAGCATTGAAAGAGGAATCTCTCAAAAGTAGATGAAGGAAAGAGAGTTTGGGGGTGTTTGAAGTATTTTGTTTCAGCAGAATGGAAATATACTGGTTTGATCTTGACTTTGTGTTATGTAACACAATAAAGAAAAAGTAAAATCAAATACTTTGGAGCATTTCAAATTGTCTGCAATTTTTTCTTTATTCTAAGAAAAATGGCCTGGTTTAGTGAAGCATTTTGAGTTTGACAAAATTGACTGTTTGGCTAAAGTTTCACCAGCAAGGTCTGGATACATTTCTGTGTAGAGTCTTCCGTAATTAGATTTATAAAACTAGAATACTTTTGTACATTATTGTTTAACAAAGTTATCCTTTTAGCCTCTTCTCATTCATTTAATTTTGTTTAAATGTGCCACAATACTTAATCTTTAGGATGAAAGGGGATTATTGAGCTCTTGCTACCATAGTCATGGAAGGGTCAAGCTAAAATAATTGCAGTTGTGCAGACATTCTTGAACTGTGATTCCTGGTACCTGTGCTTTTTGCCCTGTTTTTTTTCTGCGCGTCACATTATTATTCAACCTACTTTTGCCATACTTACTTGACCAATTCTCTGTTGATACTTTGTAAAATGTGTACTGCTCTCTCCCCTTTTTCAAGAAAAATTATTTGGAGCTAAAGAACTCCACTGAAATCATAGCTTCATACTAGCTTTTTTTACAGACACAAATCCTGTGCTTAACCTGATACATGGAAGGAGCTAAAACACACAGAAGGGAATGAACATTGTTAGTGGTAAGAGTATGATGCTAGGAAAAAAAAATGAGTCTTCTAAAAAAGTTTAATCAGTTGGCTGACAATACTGACTAAATGGCTTAAGAGTCAACTTCTGAATAATCGACATTCATACGTAATGAGGATAAATCCTGGAAGTAACAACAATTTAAGCAAAAGGAGCAGAATAATCCAAGTGAATGTAATCACATCCTATATTGGCCACATGATACATATTCTAGACCAGTCCCACTGTGCTGGGAAAACTCTGTAATAGGAATTTGTGCCCTACTTGTTGGATAGAAATGTAAGAAAACTTGATCAGTAAGGATAGGGAGAACTGTGAATTATAGCAACTTCCCCAAAGTGGAAATAGAATGGAGCTGCAATAGACGTGAGCGATCCAAACAAAAATAGTGCAGGGATTTGTGAATGATTGCATGAAGCCATGTTAATAAAGAATATTAGGCATAGGTTCTTTGTTGGCTGTTTCATTCAGAAATAAATTTCAGAGATTTTCCACAATTTTACTTGCAATTGGGAAACATTCAGGCATGTTGGGGTGGTGAGGCACTGGAATAAGTTGCCCAGGGAGGTTGTGAATGCTTCATCCCTGGCAGTGCTCAAGGCTAGGTTGGGCAAGGCCTTGGGTGATATGGTTTAGAGTGAGGTGTCCCTGCCCATGGCAGGGGGGTTGGAACTTGATGATCTTAAGGTCCTTTCCAACCCTAACTATTCTGTGATTCTATGTTGCTTTTGTATTTGCCAGGGATCTAAATGACTGTAGATGTCTTACACAGTTTGACATCATTGGAGACATGCCTTTTCACTCTCCTCCTACACACATCTGCAACTGCTGCTGCTCTCCAGACAGCAACAGCAGCATGTGTTTGAAGCCACCCTCCCACCAGTGCATTACCTTTGAGGCTAGTGGGATGGGAGCTTAGTCCTTTCCTCATGGATAAGTGAGATAAAAAGGGAAATGACCTTGTAAAAACAAATCCAGCACAGAGCAGCATGGAGGAGTTAAATGTTATTTTCCAAATAAAAGAGTTAAAGTGGAAGCAGGGAATTTACAGACATCTGTGTTGGGTTTTTTTTCTCTCAGGAGCAGTGAAAAGCATGTTATTGTGGATGAGGCGTAGATGTTGTGTGGGCTAGAACTGATTCACTTGGAATTTTATAACAGTGCACTGCTGCTTTTGATGAATTTATAGAAGCTCAACCCTGGAATAACTTAGTTCTTGTACTGCTGTATAGCTATTAAATGTAGGTGTGATTTAATGCATCAAAATATTTAAAATTATTTGACCTATAGTGTGGTATACCAACAGTTGTGTTGGCATAGAATTGTGTTGTGTTGGAAGAGGCTTTTTCCATGTAAGAGTAGTTACGTTTATATAGAGCCAATGTAATCAGTCATACTACTGGAAGAACAGTCATGGTGTACTCTAATTCTGCTGTAAGCAAAACTGCACAGCCTGTGTAAGGAGGCCCATATGTACCAACTGAAATGAACATGCTTTTACCGTGACTGATCACGTCACTGACTGAGGGATATAATGCTTGTTGTTGCTTTCTCTTGTTGAAGGTGTTGAAGAGCCCAGCACACAGAGGCTTCTTTGTCAACCAGTTATTGTGTCTTCCAAGCTGCAAATCCCTGGGCTACCTTTGCGCTGGGAACAGCAGAGCAAGCTCCTTCCAAGTGTAGCTGGAATCCCAGCCAGTAAAGTTTCTAAGTGGAGTACAGATGAGGTAGGTTTCCCCTGTACCTTCTATCTCACTACCATTGCCCTGGGGAAGTCTTGGTTGATTCGGAGGTTTAGGTTAACAATAATGAATTAGTACTTCAGAAGATTAGAGTCAGCCAGACCTAATATAACAGATCCCCAGTGGCTGCCATTCAGCCCTGGAATCAGTAAGTATTAATTCATCTCTGTATAGACAAGTATGTGTGTGTGTGTATATATATATATATATTCACTGGGGTTAAAAAGGGAAAGAAAGAAAGAAAGAAAAAAGAGAAAAAGTTAAATGTATGGCCCAGCAGATCAGGTGCCCAAGGTCTACACTAAAAACATCTAGTACCCACACAGGTATTCTGGAGAAATAGTTTAAGTGTCAGCACGGACCAAGGAGCTATTCCTGGTGCATAGTCTTGATGTGGCACACTGTTTTGGAGGGTGAGAATATAGGGCAGAGGGGAACTGCATGGATATGGTCAGGCCATGACTCTCATTAAGATCTTAAAATCATGGTTTCAAGATTTTAGAGTCCTGTTGCTGTTCAAGTATGTAATAATGCTTGGACAGACAGGGTCCAGTCCCTGCTTTAGTTTCAGAGTTACCTGTAACTAAGGCAGTTCTCTCCATTGGGACAGTCAGACCTTCTCTAATAAGAGAAAAAAAATACGCGTGAAGTTTGAAAAAGGATTTACTAATCTCTGTGCAGTGAAAAATAAAGAGGAAAGCAGCAAACATTTTGTCAGAAGTGGTTCACTGAGGGAAGATCCATTGTTCTGGATCTGCATGGATAGAACAACAGGAGTAATTTTGAGGGAGTAGCCATATCCCACTCTTAGATATCTTGTGGGAAAAAGTGGCATGTGCTCTTCTAGTCTGTGGATTTTGTGAATCCTGTCCTTAAACAACCAGCTGCATGATTCCATGTACTTACAGAAGAAGGTGGAGCACCTAATATGAGGCTGTGAAACAGCAGCTGAAAACCTTTAATGATTGTCAGCCTTGGCGACTATTTTGAGAAAACACCAGTCTCACTGTATCTTTTGTTGTATACTTACTTTGGTGGCAGGTCTCTGAATTTATACGGAGTTTACCGGGATGCGAAGAGCATGGGAAGGTGTTCAAAGATGAGGTGGGTGAATTTTATTTCAAAAAGACACAGAGTACAAATCTTGGTGAAAAGATTAATTTTATGTCATCATTACAAACAGATAAAGCGTAGTAGGATGAATTGCATGTTTCAAGTCAAACGCAAATAGATGAAAGATTAGGTTGGTTTGCGTGAAGTGGGAAGGAAGTAAGATAAACTTTCTCAAAACAGAAAGAGACCTATTTGATACTTATCTAGATTTGTGTTACTTTAGTTCTGCAGGATGTTAATAAGTAAAATAAAGCAGTGGTTCTACATAACCACCTCTTATAACGCTTTGCATCTTGTCTGATCATGCTTGGCTCTTGATGCTCTTCCTCCTGATACAGACAGGAAGTGAGAAGATCTGAAGGCTTCTGATGAGATTCAGAGGAGACCGTACTCACTTTGTGAGCATGACATGCATTACTCTGCCAAAGTTGTCATTAGGAAGTGATAGGGTTTTTAGGTACAATAGGCCTGTATAAGCTAGGTTGGCTTTTTGTCATTCAAAAGTTTTGTTACACCTGATAATGCTTAGTTTTAAGAAGGCTGTTTGATCACAGATTGCATGATCACACCAGCAGGTCGAAGAAGGTGATCCTGCCCCCTCTACTCTGCTGTCATGAGACCTCACTTGGAGTATTGTGTGCAGTTCTGGTGTCCTCAACATAAAAAGGACATGGAACTGTTGGAACAAGTCTAGAGGAGGGCCACGAGAATGATCAGGGGACTGGAGCACCTCCCTTATGAAGAAAGGCTGAGAAAGTTGGGGCTGTTCAGCCTGGAGAAGAGAAGGCTGCGTGGAGATCTCATAGCAGCCTTCCAGTATCTGAAGGGGGCTGGGGATGGACTCTTCATTAGGGACTGTAATGATAGGACAAGGGGTAACAGGTTCAGACTTAAACAGGGGAAGTTTAGATTGGATATAAGGAGGAAATTCTTTCCTGTTAGGTTGGTGAGGCACTGGAATGGGTTGCCCAGGGAGGCTGCGAATGCTCCATCCCTGGCAGTGTTCAAGGCCAGGTTGCACAGAGCCTTGGGTGACATGGTTTAGTGTGAGGTGTCCCTGCCCATGGCAGGGGGTTGGAACTAGATGATCTTAACGTCCTTTCCAACCCTAACTATTCTATGATTCTATGTTGTGAATAGTTCAGGTGTTTATTCCAGGCAGACCACCTGAATGGGCAGAGTCTGATACTGTAGTATCCCAAGTCAGTCAGCCTTTCAACTGAAGAATAATTGGTACTTAGACTTGAGAAGGCACCTCCTGAGGAAAATGCATACAGGTGGCCCTGCTAATCTCCTGCTACAAGTTTTCAGGCTGTGCTGTAAATCAGAATGACTCTTACAGTTGCATATCAAAGGACTGACAGGCCATCTCTGGGCATTTTGTTTACACTTGCTTTGATGTTAGGCATTCTACAGCTGCAGCAGGTATGCAGGCCTAGATCATCCCCTGTGTCATTTAGGGTGTCTCACCAATTAATTTAAGGTCAGTAAAAGCTGGCATATAGCTATCAAGTCATCTGGTGGGAAGTGCCAGAGAGACAGATAAATCCTAAACACTTTCATTCTCAGAGGTCTAAGAAAATACTTCCCGTCTTCAGGATTCAGCCTCTCATGCTTTGTCTGTGAGTAGTAGATTAAACCTCTACCAGTGAGGCTAACTGGCATGGACTAGCTGGCATCAGTAGTTCTTTCAATAGGTAGGAGGTGCTGGTTCAAACTTTGCTGTGGAAATCAAGCCTTATCCTCCTTATATTAATTGCTGCAAAAAAGTTGGGCACTCCCACATTCACACACTTCTTGTTCAGAGCCCACCCAGTCTGGCTTTGTGCACAAAATGAGTAGTAACTAATTGTGGTAACTGTGTGAATGGTGTTCTCACTTCAGTGCTCTTTGACTTACAGTGCTGGGGTGTACCTAGCAGGCTTCCCTTTGCAGTGTGTCTGATTCAGAAAGTTTGTCTTCCAGTCCTACAGAAACTTAGTTACGCTGGTTTTATCTCAAATTAGTATCTAAGACTAAGCAGTGCTCCTGATATAACCACTGATGATATCCTGCTTAGGTTACACTGAAAACTTACTATTGATACCTAAAGCGGCCTAAAGTTGACACAAGAAGTGTTGGCCCCATTGAAGCCATTGGATGTGAGGGCCTTGTGGCTCTTCATGTTCAGATTTATCACTCCTGCTGAGAGGTTTGCTTACAGAGTATTCACTTGCAACATTTATTGAAATAGTAACACTACAAAGTGGAAATAAAAATGCTCAGTGTTTGACAAGCTGTGTTTGTGTCAAAGAAGCAGTTATATGTAGCCTGGCCCTTGCTTACCTCTGGGACCAAATTTGTTTTATTTTGCTATTTAATTAACAGAAAGGAGTGGCCTGAAAGGGGTTCTAGTTCTGTAGCTGGGAGTGAAATCCAGAAGCTCTCTTACAAAGGCTTGCATAAAAGGAGTAGATAAGATGTTAAAAAGCATTATTATGCTGCAGTACAGTTGAATTTATCATTTCATTTATCCATTTTAATTGTCAGTAGGACAGGTTAGCTAAAATTTAGCCAAACAATTGTTTTTAGGCAGAAAGATGATCATCATCCTGTTTTTAGACTAGCTGATCTGTCTAAAAGATTGAAATCAAAGCTATCCGGAAAGCATTTCAGAGTGTTTGTATTTAGCCATTCCTTTACACTGTCTGAAATTAAAGAATTTTCTTTTCATGTTTTCTGAAACATCTATACTGCTGCACTGTCAGACTTATTGATAGCACAGTGTGTTTTTTTTTCTTTTCCAGCAAATTGATGGAGAAGCATTTCTGCTAATGACCCAATCAGACATAGTCAAAATAATGAGCATTAAACTGGGGCCAGCCCTAAAAATCTTTAATTCCATTCTGATGTTCAAAGCTGCAGAGAAAAACTCACACAATGAACTTTGAAGAGAATGGAAATGTGTACGAGTCAGCTTTCTCCACTGGAGTTCATGTTTTATTCAAAGCACAAAGACTTGCTAGAACTATTGAGTAAGGACTCTCAGAAAGGAAGAAACGTATGTTCAGCACTGGTGGACTGTTTATATTCTCCTGGAGCCAGTAGACATTTGAATCCTTTTGGGAACTGTTCAAGCTTTTGAGAAGGTACAGTTTAACAACTGAGTCAGCTAGTCTTATTTACCAAACTAATGACGCTAGTTCTCCAATGATGGTTAGGATCCCTAACTTTCTCTGGACATCAAGAAAACCTTCATGAATTATTTATGCTGTATTATATAAGGGAATGTTAATATTTTATAAGAATTCTTGAATTTACTTCATGTACCCATTTACTTTTCAGAAGCTTTTACTTCATACTATAAACTGAATAGCCAAAAGTTAGGCTACAGGTAGCCAGATGAGACTGTTATGGCTAATACCTATGTGTGCCATAGTTTAAAAATGAAACACAATGTTACATACGTGACACTTTATGCTACAGCATATAACTTTACAGATTATAAAAATGTCCGTTTGCTTGTAACAAAACAAACCTTGTTGGGGTTGAAATTATAATGCTTTTTTGATAACTGAATGTTTTTACTTTTGCACGATTACAAAAATGTTATGTGAGTTTTTCCACCAGCATCTTTAATGTATTTTACCAAAATATCAGTATAGAGAAGCCTGCAACTGAAAAATAAACTTTGACTTCATAGAAGACTTTTTGTTAATGCTGCACAATAGAGTCCCAGCCTTTCACATGGGAACTTACTACAGTCCTTCAGCACATCAAGGAAAATACATGTATTTTGAGGTAAGGACATTAGCAAAAAAGAAAATAGATTCATTCATGTCTGCACGTGCCAGTGTCCAGTGTAGTTACCACAACAGTGGAGAAAACCAGGGTGCCAAAGGTAGGACTGCTATTCTGGCTTCATATTCAACATAAGTTTTTTTTCCCAATGGTGAAGAATTATTTCACCCACTACTTCCTAGTTGGAAAGTCTGATTATAAACAAATAAGGCATAGGGTGAAACATAAAGCGTGGAGGGAAAGGATACTTAAACACATATGGTGCATCAGCACATTCTAGGTGTAAAATGCATGCATTTCACTGAGTCATTAGCAGGCTGCAAATGCCGTCAGCAAGTACTTAGGTGAGGCAACCTTACTTCTTGGAGGATTATTGTAACGATTTGTCAGGGAAAGTTGTTGCACTTGGTATATATAAGTAAGATGTAAACCAGATGCACTTTAAATGGGAGAAAGCCTAGCTATGTGTGTACTGAGGACTGTTCCAGAATACTACTTTTGCAAGAAAGAGAAGAGTTGGATCAGGATTTTTGGCAGCCCTCTTAGTGCTGTGGTGGGCAGTTGCTCAGCCTTTAGAGCTGAGAACAAACAGCATTTCCGTTGCACAGAGCTGGGAGAATTTTGCATCTTCCCACAGATTTTGCCTGGCTGTTCTTTGGCTGGAGTTCCTTAAGATTTCAAGAACACTCTGTGCCCTTTCCAGATCATGTAAGTGACTGGTACCTGCCATAATAGGAGGTAAAACAGGGTCAGTATGAAGTAAGTTGCATTGCTCTGTTAATTTCTTTCCATAGCATTGCATAATTAATATTTTTTACATTTTGTTCAATATTTGTACATTCAAATTGCACTCTTATTGTACTACATTACAAATAAAACCTGAACTGGAGCTGTCTGTTATATGTGTGTGTGCCCAGGATTTTCAGATGTACCCAGCTGTACCCAAGTAATTCCTCACTGTAGCTCAATGCGGCTATGAGGTAAAAAAGGAACTTAGCTACTGCTGTCCGGCCCCCCCCTAAACGCTTAACTCCTAAGGCTAACAGGCCATTTCTGGACCTGGACAAAGTCACTGGCAGCACCTGAAGCTGCCCATGCAGATCAGTCAAATGCCACATTCTTCTGTTTTCTTTCGTTCTGTCCTCCCATATAGTTTTATTTTCATTCACCCTCTGTGTCTCTCATGTGAGCCAGCTCTGTAGCCTGCAGTGAGAACCAGTGAAGAGATTTGCTGCTCAACAGAGGTTATTTGGAGGTGTTAGCAGCTCCCTGAATTTTTATATATTTACTTCAAAGTACTGTGGTTTAAGAAATGGGTTTGAGTTAGTATTGTTCGCAAAATTTAGAACAAACCTCACTTGAATGGTACAGAGACCAACCTTCTATTCATACAGCTATCACAACAGTGAGGACACGCATAATCCTTACTTTTGTATCCAGTGCGATAAAGTAGCAGAGCATAACCATAGCATATATATATATAGCATATAGCATAATCTGTAACCTCTGTTACAGAAACTATACCCAACAAATTTACTTAGAAACTAAAACCACTCGGGACACCTACTGAATCTTTAAAATGGCTGTTGGTATTGGTTTGTACGTTGTGTTGGAGGTAGCCCAGCTGTCACACAGGTAAAAGTTGTCCCCTGATTTCCATGGAGCCACATGAAAAATACTAAGACTTCAGTAAGAGATCCTGGCCATCAGATGCAGTGAGCTCCCCTTATCCTGAAGGATCTCCCAGTATAGTCTCTGCATTGAAGTCACTGCTGCACAGCCGAGCTTTAACAAGACAGCTGTGGTCTTCCAGGCTGTGTGCTTGAGTGTTTAAAGAATGATGGTGACCACAAACACTGATTTGCCTGCAAAGACATTTTTAGGACGGGTAGGAGATTGATCTCTGGTAGACTGCAATGTTTTAATAAAAATCCATTTTGATTTCTAATTTCATGCAATGAGTTGTGTTTGGTCTGTTGCTACTGTCCATCACTAGGTGTTTCTCCAAAGCCATGCACTGTCAGGCAGTAGCCCCTGGGATTTCCAGACATGCAGGAGTTAGGAGGAGTGTGTTAGGGAGAAAAGGAGGCTGTGGAAGAAGAGAGGGCCTCTGCTCTGTGTGGGCAGACATAGTCACCATGTAGAGAAGGCCAATTTGTTCTGGGGAACAAATTCAGGAGAATGAGGCATTCTCTCCCCGGCGCCAAAGCTGTGGTTACAAACACACATGGCAGCATCGCAGATAAGTCATTCTTGCTACTTTGAGAACTCATCTTAGAATCCTTAGTTAGCAAATTCAGGATTAATGTAAAAATAAAAAGGTTTTATGCATGGAGAGAATACTAGAAATTTTTCTTCCTGCAAACTAAAAATCAGGCCCACAATTTTAAAATACAAAAACTATTATAGTAGGCTTTTAGTGATGATAGTATAATGAAATGATGGCAAAAAGGAAATCTTTAATTTGTGCCACTTCAAAACATAAACTGTATTAACATCTGAAGCAGTGAAGTGCTCACATTCTCTCACAATGTGGTTTTTAACATTCTGAGGGTCAAAATATTATCTGAATTTGTCAAATGCTCCATATGGAAAAATAATACATGACACACGCAGTAGTCTAGAAATTTTATTATCTCTAATGCTTCTAGACTGCTCTAGAATTTCCATTTAAATTAATGAAAATGCTTAGGTTTAAATTGTTGTAAAAAGCAGCTAGTACAACTAAAATAAAAAAAAAGGGTTACTAAACATAACTGTTATAAGTACACACACATTTTCACCAGAAAGAATGGCACTGATTTATCTTCACAACAGAAGGATTTATTTTGACAAAATAAATTTGTCAAACGTTTCTGAGGGGAGTGTTGTGTACACCATCAGATACTGGGATAGTTGGTTTCCTCCAGCTCTGTCTTTACCTGGGTGAACAGGGATGCTGGGCTCCTCACCTCAAAGACCAGGGACTCCAGGAAGTTCAGTGTCCTGTGGATTCTCTTTGGGCATGGGATATTGAAGACGTGAAATGCAGCCACCAGCGCTGCCAGGGCCATGGTGCAGTCATTGAGCTGGGCTAACTCTTCTCTTTCTACATACAGCACAAACTCACATGAATTCACGTGGAAAGGATTTTTTACTTCCAATACTGGTGTCACTGCCTTTACCTAAATTAAAAAATAAAAGAGATTTCAAATGGTGCCACAGCATCTCTTTGGTGAACAGGTCAGAGAATTAACTAACACTAATGAAACTTTTAAATTTAGCTAGCATTTCTATGGATATTTGCCATCTACCCAAAAGACAAACATCAACCTTTTCCAGGAACTAAGCTGATCAACCAGAAGGCCAAGTGATGCACCCAGGCAGCTGATATAAGGAAGAGAGACCAAGCCTGCTATGCTCTGTCTCCTACCTCCTCATTCACAGCAGCAAACAGACTGGAATCATCTCCAAAGACATCTGGCAGGAGTAGACATGCAGCAGTCATTTTCATACCTGTCAAAGACAAGGATTTCTACTAAATTACAAATGCAAACATTCTAGCACTGCAGTATGGCCCTGGAAAAGCAGATTGCAGCCTATATAATAGTTAACAGCTCAGCAGTGGAACTGTTCAGTCCATTTTGAAGAGTAGCTTGTACCACAGTGAAGGTTTGGGCACATCAGCTGGCAAAGGGTATTCAAATAATTCATGGCACTGCTACTCAGTATTACAATTAAATTTCTGTCACAATAAGTAAGTAGGCCTTTGGGTTGCTTCTGTTGGAGTTTGCAAGCTGAGTAGACCTCCTGCACCCCCCATCTGTGCCCACACTCTTCTCTCCCTAGTAAATCAGACATTTCTGGGGAGTCCTGGTGCCAGAGCACTACACTTTGAAGGCTGTGGTATAAGCTGGTGCTGCAGGACCTCCTGGGACATGGTACGTGCTGCCCTCTGGTTCAGCTGTTACTGATGTAACATCTTTCTCGCAGGTCAGGCTTCAGGTGCCATGCGTTTCACTGAACCTGTCTTGTCAAGCATTTATTACCTAGGTGCCAGGTCAAGTTGTTTGTGATAGAAAAACAGGAAAGTAATGGCCTTGGGTCTTTACTAAGATGTTGAGTTAAAACTTTGTATAAGAAAAGGGGAAATTACTTACATCCGTAACTTTCTAAGGCCAAAGGTATGAGTAGAAAGTCCATAAACGCTTTCTGGATTAGGCTGCCTGCTGACACTTTTTTATGGCTTCAAGCTTAAAGAAAGAAAACCCCAGTATTTTAACCTACTCTGCTGGCTTCTTTAAGAAATGGCCTGGTAATAAAAGGAGTGAAACCGCTAAAGGAAACACATGTATTTGTACTGTGTCACTTTTGATTTGACATCCTGGCATTATGCCTGTGTGATAGAAAATGACAGTCTAAGGAGCACTTCTCACAGAGCTAAGCTCAAGCATAGGCACTGACGGCTACAGTTTGGGAAGAACAGTGATTTCGAGTAACGGCTTCAAAGGTTTTGCCCTTGCACAGCCGTGCTCTTCAGACTTCTCAGACTGAAAGAAGTTGAGTGGCAGCGGGTGCTTACTCCCTCACAGCCAGGAAGTTGAACACTTTGAGGTTCCTGGACGTCTTTACATGGCTGTGGTACCTGCTCACCAGAGGTACCAGTTTGCGCACTTATTCCTGCACTTATTCCTGCAATGTGTCTGCAGACATGAAGCACTTGAAACACAGTGGTAATTACTAGTTTTGTTTTACTGCAATGAAGAGTTCACGCATAGAAACAGTAACTCTCTTTCTAAAGGAAATGATCTCTTTTCATGAGGCTATTTCTAAACCAGAAAATTTGTTTTCTGTGTGTATTTTTAGAAAATAATAAGCATTCCTTTACATATCCAGAAATACATAACTGCTCATCTAGCTATACTTATCCTGCAGTCTTTCATTCAATTAGAAGTTTCAATACCTGACTTAATTTTCCTAGTAATTCATTAGCTTTTATTCTTAATGCTTCCGCATCGCTGTGTATTTTTTCAGGCAAGTGTGACATTTTTAATATGTTTTTGCAGTAAAATTGGGGCTAGTTTAGTTACATAAGTAAGAACAATTAGCTACAACAGAACTCTGATATTCAGAGCATAGCAGATTTGTACTGACATTTCAGAATGTCTTGCTCTGTGTGACGCTTCAGATTTTCTTGCAGCATAACATTAATTGGATTGTTCCTCACTGCATACAAAGATAATATGTTTTCTGAATAAATCTCCAAAATCTCAACTGTTTTCTTATAAATGTCCGTGTGTGTGAGAAGCTGGAACTCCCTGAAGAGCTAAAAGAGAAACAAATATTTGGTATTATTGCAATCCTGGGAACTGAAAAGAGCACAACATGCACACTTTGAAGAGAGGGTAAAACTAGCTCAGTAAAAAGAGATTATAAATCAGAGGGGATGGTTTTAATTTCTTTTCAAAGCAAGGAAGAAATACATCAAGTAACACCAAAATACTGCAAATAATGCACTGGTGTTGTGTGTGGTATATTTAACACAGGACTGGTGAATCTTTCAACGTGGTGTTAACAGCAAAAATGTGAGTTAGGTTAAAGAGAACAATGTTGGATACTTCACTGGAAACACTCAGTAAAACACATGCCTATGGTTGTATCACATCTATAACACGAAATGCAATGTCATTATTAAAAATAGCTATTACCTGATGAGGGCATCTTAAGAAAGGAAATAGTCTAAGAATATCTTTTAAGGGTGCCTTATCACTGATCATCTTTCTCCGCATCTCAAGTGTCACATTCATTCTGTTATCCACTTCTTTCCAGTTCCTCTGAGTTTTCAGATATTCTTGCTTAAGCCACTGAATGTGTACATCCATTGCAATGCCTTCAAGATGAGCTGGTTCTTCCTATCAAGAAAGGACAAAATTGTGACAAACCACAATTTTTATCAGATGTAGCTTGTGTGATTTGAGTGTAGTCATAGTGTAGAAACTCTCAGCAGAAAGTACCTGTAGTAGTGTTTCAGTACCAGCTTTGTGGACTTGCCTTCATGTTCTAATAGTTAAATGAAGATCTGTTTTCATATAATACTATAGATATCAGCCAAGTCTCCCAAGCTTAAATTACATATTTGAGGATATTAATGAAATTCCTAAGCCTGTGTCTGGTTTGTCTAATTGAAGAAATAGTATTTTCTTCTTACTCATACAGGTCCTAAAAGCAGGACAACAAACTTTCACACTTATGCAACTGAAGTATTTACCTTCAGGGAGACCAGCTGAACTCAGATAACTCTTAATGGAAAATATGACCAAGCAGACTGTTAGTGTATTCAAAAAGTTATTTTGTACTTGAAGATTGTTAACAATCTTCTTCAAAATTACTATTATTGTCCATGCTTTAATTCCAAACCCAGTAATTTATAAGAACAAGAGTGGCTATCCAAAGGAGTAGTAAATCAGTGGCAGTAGCCTGGAGCTGTTAAGTTTCTATCAAAGGATGCAGTGAATTTGCTCATTGACACTAGCTGAGATGATGTACAGATACACTGTTAGTACAGCTACTGCTCCCAGGCTGCATTTACCCTGGCTTTTCACATATGTATTATCACTGATGCAGCTGTTGTCTCTGTCTGTGGTGGCCTGTGGGTCAATGTCAGTGGGAGTTGAAACACTTAATCCTGTTCCCCAGAACATTTAAGACACAGAGCTACGAAATACAACATCCAAAACTGCTTCGCAGTGCTCTGTACTTGCAATTAAGCTTTCCAGTTAATTAACATCATTTCTTAAATTGTGCATATGGCATTCCAAGAATGGTTGCACAACATACACAATTAAAATACCTGTCTCAAACCCAGTATATATCTGTGGATTTCAATAACCATAGGGGTCACAGAAGAAAATAAGCACTACATGCAAGACAGATACCTGCTGGGACTCTGCAGATACTCCCTTGGCCTGCACTAGGCTGTTGTATTAGCACAGTCTGCACTCTTTCTAATAGAGGACTTTAATCTGGATTGCATTACACGAGTAGTATTTCTTCATGGCCAACTTCAGTAGGCATTCCTCACCTCCTCCACACTGCACAGGAACAGAGGTGGTGGGCCAGACAATTTAAGTCCCATACCCTCCTCTACCTGTCTGAGTGCTTGGAAAAAGAATCATAGAGCAGTTAGGGTTGGAAAGGACCTTAAGATCATCTAGTTCCAACCCCCTGTCATGGACAGGGATGCCTCGCACTAAACCAGGTTGCCCATCTCTGTCCAACCTGGTCTTGAACACTGCCAGGGATGGAGCACTTACCACTTTTTTGGGCAGCCTGTTCCAGTGCCTCACGACCCTCACAGTAAGGAGCTTCTTCCTTATATCTAACCTGAACTTTCCCTGTTTAAGGTTTAACCCGTTACCCCTTGCCCTATCACTAGAGTCGCCAACAGAAAGTCCATCACCAGCATCCCTATAGGCCCCCTTCAGATACTGGAAGGCTGCTATGAGGTCTCCACGCAGCCTTCTCTTCTCCAGGCTGAACAGCCCCAACTTTCTCAGCCTATCTTCATACAGGAGGTGCACCAGTCCCCTAATCATTCTCGTGGCCCTCCTCTGGACTTGTTCCAACAGTTCCATGTCCTTTTTATGTTGAAGACACCAGAGCTGCACACAGTACTCCACGTGAGGTCTCACGAGAGCAGAGTAGAGGGGAAGGATCACCTCCTTCGACCTGCTGGTCACACTCCTTTTGATGCAGCCCAGGATACGGTTGGCTTTCTGGGCTGTGAGCGCACACTGAAGCTGACTCATGCTCATTTTCTCATAGACCAGCACCCCCAAGTCCTTCTCCGCAGGGCTGCTCTGAATCTCTTCTCTGCCCAGCCTGTAGCTGTGCCTGAGGTTGCTCTGACCCATGTGTAGGACCTTGCACTTGTCATGGTTAAACTTCATGAGGTTGGCATCAGCCCACCTCACAAGCGTGTCAAGGTCCCTCTGGATGGCATTCCTTCCCTCCAGCGTATCAACCGAACCACACAGCTTGGTGTCATCGGCAAACTTGCTGAGGGCGCACTCAATCCCACTGTCCATGTCAGTGACGAAGATGTTAAACAAGATCAGTCCCAGCACCGATCCCTGAGGAATACCACTCATTGCTGGTCTCCAGCTGGACATTGAGCCATTGACCACAACTCTTTGTGTGCAGCCATCCAGCCAGTTCTTTTTCCACTGAGTAGTCCACCTATCAAATTGATGTCTCTCCAATTTAGAGACAAGGATGTCATGCAGGAAAGTGTCAAATGCTCTGCACAAGTCCAGGTAGATGACATCAATTGCTTTGCCCCTCTCCATCAGTTCTGTAGCTCCATCATAGAACGCCACCAAATTGGTCAGGCAAGATTTCCCCTTAATGAAGCCATGCTGGTTGCCACCAGTCACGTTGTTTTTCATGTGCCTTAGCATGGTTTCCAAAAGCATCTGCTCCACGATGTATAAAGTAAGGTTGTGTATGTAGTGGCACCTCCCTTGAGTTCTGTGAAGGCTCCACTGAACTGGAGTTTGTGAACTCCCAAGGGTTATGGCTTTATATTTAATAGCCTTCAGTAGATTTTTTTGTTCCATTATTTTTCCCAGTCACTTTTCCAACTCTCATAAAATGGTACATCCTGCATTAAATTCAGTGGTTTAACTGTGCACTGTTGGAAAATATTTTATTTTTCTCTTGCTGCTTCTGCCTTCTAATTATCATTCTGGATTCAAAACCTATTCACCATCTTCTTGCCACTGTAGTATAGATATGTTATATTCTGTCCTCGGCCACCTCTTTTCCAGCCGAGACTGTCCTAAGTTGTTAAATCATTCCACATAGAAAACCTAGTCCAAACTTTCAATTATCCTTGTTACTATCTTTGTATATCCTGTAATTTCACTGCAGCCCTTAGCTAGTTGAGATGTTGAAACACCACAGGTGCATCCAATGGAATAACATGCTCCCTTTTGTTTCTTTCTTACATAATTCTGAGCATTCAATATACATTTTTGTACTGCTATTTAGCATTGTGCCAAGTTTTCTTTGGCATAATATAAAAATATCATTTGTGAATAGTAAGAATAAGCTCAGAGCCCATCACTGTAAATGTTGTTAGGACTGGGTTTTCTCTTTGTGCCTTAGTTTTCATCTAACACTCAAATTTTATCTGTTGTCTTTTTGCCCTGTCACTCAGTAGCATGGGGTCCTTCTGCAGTTCTTCAGACAGTCTTTTGTTGTTACTGCCCTCGTTAACATCATCCAGTGTGGTCAGCCAACTATCCTCCTTTCCCCACACCATTTAGAAATATATTGAACTGCTTAAACTAAGCATTAATAATTTTTCTGCTGTAAAAAACAGCTATTTCTGCCTAGCCTTCTTTGTTCTAATTTATTCATGCAAGGACCTTCTTGCTTACCTTTTTGCTTATCCTTCAGATTATATCCTCTAAGAGTCTTTGAAAGGCAGGTGTGAAATCTCCTCTGAAGTTAAAGTAAATTCTATCAGTTGCATTTCCTGTGTCCTCGTGGTTGTTGAATACTTCAAAGAATGAATGAATTTATGAACTTCTTTTCACTGGAACTTTGTTGATTCCTTCCCAATGTGTTCATCTCTTGGGTCTGCATTACAGTTCTTGCCAATTTGGCCAGTAAAGACAGTAGCTTTCTTGGTCAATATGGTCCTTACCAACTGTGAACACCATTCTAGTATTCACAGATCTCCAAGTCAGCTGTTCAGCTGCTCCTTAACCTGATAACTTGCTCTAAGTTGGATGGACTGGCTCTTGCTTCGGTATGACCACTGCACAAAACCAAGGGCTGGTTTACTCCTGTCAGTCTCAAGATGCTCATGCTTCCTCACACATGTACACAGATGGCTGGGTTTTTTAATTACCGTTGTGTTTTTTACTCCAGGCAAAAGCTAGTTTGAAGTCTCTGACTCCAAAGAGCTGTTATTACTGCTCTGGGTCTGCTTCCAAGCCTCCTGCCCACAGAGCAGGAGCTTCTTCAGCCACCTGCTGTGGCTGATTTCCAGAGGGGCCATCACCTTCAGTGCCTCACTTGCAGAGACAGGAAAGCAAAACAAACTCAATCTGGTGTGCTGTAACCACAGACAAACCGACTGGGTTGCTTAGAAACAAACACCGAGAACAAGTTATGACCTTTACTCCAGCTAATTTCTATCCCCCTTTTCAAGGCAAATACAGCTCAAACTCGCAATGTAGTCAGCTCTGTCTTTGAGAGCTAGTTTAACTAGTGATATTATTGATTATCTAAATGAGACTATTTGACATTTTTGTAAGCATTAGTGGCAAGCTACCAATAGAAATCCAGCAGTAGTATAAGGAAGAATTGCTGTCAAACTTACATATTAGGAAAAATATAATGTGATAGAAGGTCAGACTTCATTGTGTAAGTCATCCATTACATATGAGTAACACAAGCAGAAATCAGCATTAGAATTTGTTTTCTTACAGTGTTCAGCCTGCTTAGAGCAATGAACATCTGTAACCTTTACACATTTTTAAGCTCCATTTCTAGGCTAGAGAAAGTAGTTCTGAACTGTAAGCTCTTTAACATAGCTTGTTTAAGCTAGTAGTCTGTGTATAGATGTATATTTCCAGCCATAAAACATATCTTAAAAATTCAGGCAAGTAATAGAGCTGCAGAAATGTCCCAGATCCCTGGTAGCATTGTTTGGATATCAATTAATAACAGTTTTCTACTGGCCTGAGTAGGTGTTGCTGTTTCAGAGATTACTTCTTGTTTATTAAAGTGCAGTGGAAACGTAACAAGTGAAGTTAATGTCCTTTGAGGATGGGCAATAATGAGTATGACGTAAAATATTTGGGGTGTTGTAAAACAATGCTGCATGCAGTGAAAGAGC